TAAATGTATTTATGCGGTAATTTATGCAATGTCCAAAAGATGATGTTTTACTATAGGTATGGGTTGGATAAAAATGATAAAAAAATTAAATATTCGTTGGAGAATGTACTGTTTAGAGTAATTTTAAATTTAAAGTTATGAAATATGTGTTTTGTGGCCATGAAATTATATTTCTTTCTTCATAAGCCGTTACCTTAGTATTTTAATTACACGATATTACGTTCCTTTCTTTCTTTTTTCTACATTTTTTTATTCTATGTTTTTAATCTTCACGAGAATTTTATTTTATTAGAGGGCAATGCTTTTATCCTTATAAGAAGGCAATATTTTAAAAAATGATCTAAATAATGTCTTTATTTAATTTTATTTTAATTTACTAATGATATTTAAGATTTCTTAGAAAATAGTATATTGCATATCACCAAGATTAATATTTTTAAAGTTGAATTTTCTGGTAAAACAACTTATCCAATTATTCTTTTCTTCTCTTCTTCTATTATAGGTCTTTATGTAGATATACTGTTTATAAATTCGATCGATCTATGGTAACAATAAATGAATTTTTTCGAAGTGTACGAATAGTTAATTAATGATTAAAAATTGTACTTGATAATTTATCATAAAATCACCAATCCATAAATATGTATATATATATATGGTATCACTATAAATCTATAAATTTATATTTAAATATTACTGCTTGTATAATTAATATTCGATATGTTTTCTAGCGATTTAAAAGATATTTGATTTTTAATGGAGAAATTAACGAGTCTAAAAATAAAAAGTTCATGAAATAATGAAATAATTCTATAAAGTCTCATGATTAGTAATATCAATTTTATTATTGAATATTCGCTTGAATTTAATCGCGTGATAATATTCCATTGTATATACGTAGATACGATGATTATAAAGAATAAAATCATTGTAGTAGTCAATAAGTATCCTTTATGTTAAAAATATACTTCTCTATTATAAATTCCACGAGACGTAGTCTATTCACTATTCTATGTCATACATTTGAAATAAATATACAAATCAATTTGTTCGAAATGTCGAAAATCGATTATTATGAAATTATTTATATAAAGAGATTGCATAATTCCAATAATTGACAAAACAGTATAATTCCTACGTAATACTTTCTACTTATTTTAGATCAATGACTTCCTCTCGTTTCGCCCGTTTTCAACAGACTTTAATCGATTTTTCGAGCCACTTTTTTATGGATCAAGAGCGGATTTAATTGGCCGTTTTATATGCAGCCAGTAGACTATTTAAGTGACTACGTAAGGAATTAATGTAGCGTAAATCATAGCGGTAATTATTTTTCTGATAAATAATATTGTTCTTTTCTCTTCTCAATGCAGAGTTTCGCAAAAGAAATTGAAAAATAATGAATATTTGATACTTAGATATATTTTACTTATGTTGTAAAGTTATTTGTTATTCATTTTTTATTTATTATTTGATGTTATCTCTTATTGAAATTTTCAATACTGTAATACTAATAAAACTATTAGTAGAATAAATAGATTTAAAAATTACATAATCTTCTTTTATAGTAATTATTTATATAATCCATCTATCTATATTGTAAATCTATCGTAAAATTGAGCATGAATAAAAATATGTTAAATACTAATAAGTTTGAAGTATTGATATCAATATAGTGATAAGTAATATATTTTTGTGCTTTTGTATAAGTAATATATAAAACTATCAATTATACTATTATATTTTTTCTACTTCTTAATAAATTATTTATTTAGCATTTAATGAAGAAAGCATTGGAACATTTATTAAAGAAAAAAGACACAATGAAAGACATAACACTACACATATATTAATAATTAAATAATATATTAATAATTATTAATATATTAATAATATTATAATTAAATAATATATTAATAAAATAATAATTATATTATAATAATAATTAAATATAGTATTAGGTATTTAATATTTCCCAATTTATGAAAATCGATTTAGTCAATAATACATTTAGTTCTATCTTTCATGTTATATGTTATTTTACATGTTAGAAATGTGGGACTTTGATGAAACTGTAAGAATGTTAGGTTTGTGTGAAGTTACTACCTCCACAAGAACCTCTGAAGTTACTAACTTCAATGACCAACGAAACATCAAACTCCGTTCTAATTTCATTTTTTTTAAAGATAAAATCGTAAAGAGGAAAACGAGTGTTCGCAATGATCTGGACTCGCTATTAATTGACAATTTAAATAGTCTAGATGTGAGATCTAGTTCCCGGAAATTTTGAAATCTAGTACGTTGTGCATTTATAATTGTCAAATATAATGATACTAAAATTTCTAAAATTTCTTAAATTGAAGAATGTCTATAATATTATATATTGGTACGATTTCAAATTGATACCCGTTTTCGAATTATTGTATTTCATTCTTTGTTTTACAAACAGATTTTCTGAGAAAGATTTTAATATAAAATTGAAGAGGGAATTACATATTAAGAGGCAATTACTTTATAATCTCGCATCAAACTCAAGAAATTAATATTGCACATCTTTCAGCCTAATAATCATTCTAACTATAATTAAGTTTATTAAATTCTATTCTACTTGTATCTACTTATTGTGTTATTCACATATATTCTGTTTTTGTGTTTTTTATTTTTTCATTTCTAAATTTTTATATTTCTAATACTATTAACTGTCGAAATTACATTGAATTAAATTTTTTTAAAATGTAGACAGTCGTTAACGATAGAAAAATGAAATTGCGTTCAACACAAAGCTAATATGAAGATTTTGAGAAATGTAAAGGTTTAAATCTTAATAGATGATTGGTATTGCAGGATCGTAAATGAATCGTAATAGCTTGATATAAATTATTTAATTCTAAAATATTTTATTGTAATTATTAATCAATATTAAATGGCATGGTATTATAATAAGTATGGATTAAAATCTTAAAATGGTGGAAATGGAGATGATTATGAATAAGAAAAATAAAAATTTGTGAATTATATAGAAAATTATTATTCATAAGTTAGATATTGAAAGATTTAATCCAGATTTTATGGCTTTTATCGTTTTACGTTGAAAAAACGACTTAAGTTTCCGTAATAGTATCGCTTTTTAAAGAACTTTCAGATTATCACTAATTAATATCATTTTTAAGAATAATGGATAAAATGTAAATTGGAATTTTCTATTCTTCTTTAAACTTATTTACCTTTTTGTTATTGCATTATTCCACAATATAAATATATTTAATTAATAAATTAAGTATTGTAATAATTTTGAATTGCTATTCTATCATAAAGGTTAACGATAGCTTATAAAATGATACAACAAATTATTCATATTCCTTTTACTTGCGTTCTCGATACTTTTTACGCGCGATACTTGATTAGTTCGATGCATATTACTTCGCGATCGTTCGGCGACAATAACCACGACCAGTGTATTTCCGTTACCGCGATACATCGTCTCGAGTTCTTCGCGTTTCCGCGCACCACACCGGAAATTACAGAATACTAATATTTGCTCGTCGCGTCGTGTCTGCCGGATATTCTTATGCGGTTGTGGCCAACCTGTGTACTACAGAATATTGTGTTTCAAACTGCTACTATGGCCAGATCTATTTTGACACAAATCTGATTTCCCCGGAGCCATTATTCTTTTCTGCGTCTCAGTTTCTTTTTTTTCATTCAAGACATTGCTATCTTTTTAGAAATATTTTTTAATATTTTTGTATTAAATGTAATATTATATTATATATTAAAAATATTTTTTAATATTTAATGAATTTTTTTGGAAGAGTGTAAGGTGGAATAATGGATTGTGTTGAAAATTTTAGGTTTAGTATTTTAATATTAACCGTGTTTGAACTGTCGAATTATTACGTAACGTAACCGAGGATTTTTTTTAAATTTTATTTTGAACATTACATATGTTTCTTTATATTCTATGTGATTTATATTCTTTATACTCTCGCGAAATTTACATTTTAAAATTTTGCATATACATATGTATGCACAAAAATCTACATCGTAATAATTACAGCGACGCTTAAAAGATTGTTCTCTTCACATTTGCGAAATAAATTGCAATTTCATAATAACTTTTCTGATTTATCTAGAAAATACATTCGACATCTATATATACTATGTGTACTCACCAAAAATTAGTAACATTAAAATGTGTACCTTTCGCAACAATTCAATTTCCATCCAAACATATCTCTCTGCGAATAGTAATAATGATAAAAATCGAAGTGTAATTTCAGGTGAGACATTCTGAGTGTTTCCTTAATTATAAATAACGAGTACGTATTTCACAATTCCGTTGGTATTCAAAGTTAATAAAATATTCTGCATTATATTAATTTTAATCTTTGTATAGGCTTTTTTATGTAATTTAATGAAATTACTTTTAAGACAAAACAAAATTAACAAAAAAGAAGTTAAATAGATTTAAATGATATATACCATAAATCTTTTTCATAAATAGTTATATTTAATTTTATATTTTAGTTATATTTAATTTTATATCATAATTTACAATTTCGTTCTTTTTTCAATGGATGTTCTTATTTATTAATATTGATAGATTAATTTTCTGTATACTGTTAATTTTAATTCTAATTTTTAAAATAACGTTCATTTTCGAAATATTACTATACCAGAATTACTGCAGGAATACTGGAACTGTAATTAGGAACTTTGTACAGTTTCTGACATACATATATTATATATTGTTTCTACAAGTTTATTATATATAGAACACGATATGAAAATTTTGTATGTGTTCTTAATTAGACAACAAATCAAGAACACAATTTACTTGATTTTAACTTCATTGTTATTTTCTAAAAGAAAAAGAAACAAAATTGCGATATTTAATTTAATTGGTATTTAAAATTTTATAAAAAAGGCGAATTATTATAATTATCCATTATTTACAAGTATCTTGTAGAATTTTACTTATTATTAATGTTTTGTTTCAGAATCAAGAACACCTGAAGCCGCAGATCGTCCACGCACTTTCTAATGCAGAACTTTACTGTTTGGCGTTGGCAAACATCTATTCGGATCCAAATTATCACAATCAGAATCATTGCGGTATTCTTCAAGCCCTTGCCAGAAAAGGTGTTTACCTCGCGGAGCCAAACAATACTCAACTCACTGAAACGATCCTCATTCAAAATTCACCACTCAAGATGGTAAGATAAAAAGAGCAATATTTTTAGAAATTTTTGAGAATATATTTTAAAGACAAAAACAATAAATATATTAATAGGAAAAGTATAAAAATTATGAATAATAATGTAAACGGAAATATTGTTTAAAAATATATTACAAAAAGAATTAAAAAATTGTAAGATAATATTTGAAAAGAAAAATTATGTTTAGAAGAAAAAAATCCTAATACATGTATTAATTTTATGTGCATTTAATTTTGTAAAAAAATATCTATTATTGTTATTACTAAATCTATTAATATCTTGAAAATTAATTATGTATGTAATAACTACATAAATATTTTATAAATGTTTTTAGATCTCAATTAGATAATTAATGTTTATGAAGAAAATATAGATTGCTCCCTACGCCTTATATATAATATATATAAAACTTTTATTGATATAAATAAAACTCTAATTAATTTGTTTTTACTAAAATTTCATTAGTTTTCTATCAGATCATAATGAATTATATATAAGATACATACACATATAATTATCTAGTGCAAAACATATTTATTTCATATAACACAAATGATTTCTTTTTTTATATGTATTTCAGATTAAGGTAATAACTTAATTTTTTAAAAAATATGTCAGATATTATATGATAGTCAATAGATTGTATTAGTAACATCTGTATAAATATAATTCAATGTATTGCAAAACCTGAAGCTAAAATTTTATATTCGGGATTTTCTTCCTTTCCCTCACTTTTCAAAATTCCGTTTGATGATTAGATTATACTGTTTATTTCAATTTTGATTTCAATTATGTAAATTTCAATTATAGTGAATGGAAGCAATGAGATTTCGTCTCATATAACATGTAGGTACTATAGATTAATTCAGCAAGATGGCATTCAAGACATGCTAATTTAGCAGAGTAAAGCTTGTTGCTTCTCTTTCAAACAAAATTCAATTGTATAAAGTCACAAACAATGTGTAACATTTCTTTCCTTCTTTTCCTTTTTTACGTTTCTTGTTTCAGATTTTTACTTTTTTATGAAATTTCCCATAAAGAGAAGGGGATAATATTCTTGAAAATATTATTTCCCAAATCATTCTTTTAATTATAATTTTATTTTAATGTTTATTTCAATTCAGGACTCTTGAGCTTCAAGCTTTCTTATGCGTTTATTTTTTTAAATTTATTTTTTATTCTATTTTTTTCTTATATGAGTGTATCTTGCATATAGCAACGACTTTCAATTATCAAATTTAAACATATACAATAAAATAGATAAACATATACAATAAATAGAGTTTTGAGAATTATTTTTATAAAAGAGAATTAATTTTAATTTAAGGTTATTAAACTTGTAGGTTTGAGAGAGTCTCCTTTCCTAATTCTAATAGGGTTGCTTTAGAAAATTAAATCTTAAACTGTTACGTAAAACCAAAAGGAAGGGATACTTGAAATCAACTTCGGTTTATTATATTTTCGGAAGATATCTTTAATAGATACAGATAGTGTAAAGATATTGGTATTTTATATCACGAAATATTAAATTTATATGAATTGAAGCATTTTTAATTATGGGATATGCGTTCAGAGATATGTAATCATTTCTATTATTTGTAAAAAATTGTAGTACAAGAATTTCTACTTTATCATTTGTTTGTAAATGTTGGTCGGTTGAAGTAGATTCCGCTTTATTAAATATTGAAAGCAAAATAAATTTATTAAATAAACCAAAATTGAAAAAAAATGTACTCCCGACTCTTTTTCTTTACATTATTTCTAAAAATATTTGGAATAAAATTTTATTCGAATAATGCCCAACTGTGTGTTCGAATAATTTTTCTTCGAATAAAATCGTTATTCGTTATTTACAAATAAATTTGACAATATTTTATTCGTTGTTCGTTCGAATAAAATATGCCTAACTCTGGGTAGGATAGGGATTATATTGCATTATCGAAATCAATTATTCATAATATTTAATAAACATATATATATATTTTTTCTTCAAATATAATAATATTTATTCTAAATGATAATATAAAAAAGATAATTGTTCTACATTTTGTGATAGTAATTTCGCTCTAGAGTCGGTATTATTATATTTCCGGATAAGGAAAATAATCTTTCACTCATAGTTTGAGTGGCAGGTACAGCAAGAAATTTTTTTGCTGCTAAAGACAATAGTGGAAATCTGGCTATATTAAATTTCCACCAACTAATAATATCTATATATCTAGCTTTAAGACCATCGGCGAAATACATATGTATCTCTCAATGTAGCTGCGACTCAAAGGTCTCCGGTTCCTCGGCGTTTGTACATTCTAGTGCTTCGTCGAAAAATTGGTCCAGTTGTGATTTGTTTGTTGCCTATAAGTTGCAACACGTGAAGATAAATCATTAATAAATATTTAAATAATAGGAAAATTATATTTATTGTTATATAAACTTATTACTTTTTCTGGTATTGCGTTTGTGTAATATGTTTTCATGTGAGTTTGATGTTTCCTTGTAAATATCTGAAATAGTTGCACTTAATATTTCTATTGCTTTATGTCTTTCTTCTGTCGGTAATAAGTAATCCTTAAAACGAGGATCCAATAACATTGTATTGAAGTACAGGTTATTATTGTGTACAATAGGCTCGAATCGTTCCTAAAAATAAAATTACGTAATTTATTTAATATGGTTTCTTTCTTGTAGTAACTAAAAATAAATAATTGAACGGACCTTTAATGCTTCGCGAATACTATTGCTCATATCTCTTATCAGTGTAGTTGCTGTTGGCTGTGGCTGAAGTATATGTTTCGCCACTCATTTTTTCTGTAACATCTTTAATAGGTTTCAAGACATCTGTTACTGCTATAATGAAATTCCATTCTACTAAATCTAAATTATCCGGCATATCATCTTCACACAGTACTATATTTAGTGTTGTTTGCAAAAGAATGAACCGTTTAAACATTTCGTATGTTGAAATCCATCTTGTATCGATATCCTGTATTAATTGCAGTGGTTCTTGTTGTTCGTTGATGGATTTTTGTGCAGTTATAAGCTTGTGTTTTGCGGTTGTGGAGCGTGAAAAGAACGTAATTATTTCCTTGCATTTTTTCCGGAGATGATCGTATAATTCAAAATTCCTTAAACCTTGCTTAACTACCAATTGTAGACAATGGGCAAAACAAGGAACTCTGCTCCATTTATTATAATTATCAATGGCTTTAACAATACTCCGTCCATTATCTGTAGTGATAAAGGCTGGCGTCTCAGTATGTATATTCCATTCAATTGTAAACAGCGTAATATAGCGTTTTGAATGTATTTATATGTATGTTTCTCCGGAAGGTGTTTTAAATTTAACATATAATGGCAAAGTTCAAAATTTTTATTTATATAGTGTATAGTTATAGACAAATAACTTTGTACGGCTCTTGACGTCCAGCCGTCAGTAGTAAATGCTACAGTGGTATTCCCTGTTAGAAAATTATATGTGTTAGAGTTAGAAGATACATATAAAAAAAAATATCAAAAAATAATGCTTAATGAAATAATGCTAAAGAAAAGTATAATTTACCTTCTTTCAAGTCTATAGATATTTTGTCCTTCAGATTTTGTTTTATCTTTTCATACAATTTTGGAATTATTTCACTTGAAAATGTAGTTTGCGAGGGTATTTTATATAGTGGTTCTGCTATCTTCATTAACTTTTGAAATCCACGGCCTTCAACTAAACTATAAGGTTGCAATCTAATGCCATCATGCTAGCAGTAGCCTTTGTAAACTCTTTAGATTTCTTTGATATATAAATAGATCTTTTTGAATTTTTGTCCAAATATGTTATATTCTGCTGTTGGTTGTTACTAGCCTCTGCCTCTGTACATGTTACTAAATTAATTACATTACTATGCTTGTACTTTAAATGACGACCAAGGGAACTCGTATTGCTGTATTTCATTTTAATTTTCTGTTGACATATTTTACATTGTGTTTCATGTGACTTAACTTTTTCAAAATGCTGCCATACATGGTTTCTATGTTGTTTTCGTCGCACAAGATTCATACCAGATGCTGCGGCGATATCTTCGGTGCTATCAATATCACGCATCCCTGCACTGCGTATAATATACGTTTTAAAAATAAACTCCAGAAAATTTCGATCGCGTTACTATTTACATATATTCGTAGTTAATCCCTTGCCAGTCCCGCAAATTTGACGAAATCGGTGCAAAAAATGTTTACCTGTTTTTTTCCATAAATTCGTTGGTTATATTATTCTGATGTAAAAAATAGGGATTCAAGTGGTAAACGTACTTTTTATTTGTAAAAAGATTCCAAATTACTATTGCACTGCAAAATAATGATAACAAAAATGAAAATGATCACAGAAATGAACACTGAACACAATACTCTCCGATGTGACTTGCAAAGCGACACTTTCACGACTGAGAAGTTTCCAAGTCAGAAAACCAAATACCAATACATTTCAAAGCCTTTTTCAAATGTTTATAGAATATTTTCTTCTTCTCTTTTACGCCCGAGCTCAGATATAAACACTACACCGATGGGAATTTTCTTTCTCACAGGACTACATGAAACAGACCACTTATATGGTCTATAAGTGGTCTCTTCCAGAAATATATAGCTTTTGCTGGTATGGTAAGAGCATTTATATATACTACAAAATAGGAATGGCAAAAGCTATATGTTTCTGGAAGAGACCATTTTATATGGTATATAAATGGCCTCTTTCATGTAGTCCTATGAGAAAGAGAATCCCCATCGATGTAGTGTTTCTATCTGAGCTCTGGCGTGAAAGAGAAGAAGAAAATATTATATAAAGGCAAACATTTGATAAAGGCTTTGAAATGTATCGTTCTCTGGTTCTCTAACTTGAAAACTTTTCGTGAGTGTCGCTTTGCAAGTCACATTGGAGTTCATTGTGTTCAGTATTTATTTTTGTTATTATTTTGCAGTGCAATAGTAATTTGGAATCATTTTACAAACAAAAAAACTAATTTACCATTTGAATCCCCCCTTTTTTTTACGTCAGAATAGCATAATCAACCAATTTATGGAAAAAAACAGGTAAGCAATTTTTGCACTGATTTCGTCAAATTTGCAAGACTGGCAAAGGGTTAATTACGAATATATGTAAATAGTAACGCGATCAAAATTTTCTGGAGTTTATTTTTAAAACGTATTATATATTATATGCAGGTATGCGTGATAGTGATAGCACCGAAGATATCGCCAACGCATCTGGTGTGAATGTTGTACGACAAAAATGACATAGAAATAATGTATGGCAGCATTCTGAAAAAATTAATCCACATGAAAATATGATTATATGATGACACAATGTAAAATATGTCAACAAAAAGTTAAAATGAAGTACTGTTGTATAATTTTATTTATAATAAAGTAACACTTGTAGACTTTACACGAATGTTCAATACGTCTGTACAGCTCGGCTGACGAAACAAGGTCTTTAGACCAAATTTGAATTTACTGAATATGTATACCAGGACATCGGAGAAACAAAAGACTATGTACATAGTACTCACTCACATGACCAATAGATGTCAAGATTAGTTCGATTACAACAATACGAGTTCGAGTACAGCAATACGAGTTCCCTTGGTCATCATTTAAAGTATAAGCATAGTGATGTAATTAATTCAGTAATATGTACAGATGCAGAAACCAGTAAATGTTACAGAGTAAATGATTGGCGAAACATATCCAACTGTCTCCCAATATTATACAATGTGTTTCGTATTAATAAATATACTTCTGAAATTAACTTTAGAGTATTTAAACTAGGATTTACTTTTATTTTTCTTAGAATAATGCGTTTGTCTCGGTCGTTAAGTTTTCGTGGCCGACTTTTCTGAGGAATTGATTCAATTCGGTCTTCATTATTGTATCTCCGTACAATATCAGTCACTCTTTTAATTAATTTTAAAAGATGGCCGATTTCTCGATACGTTTTTCCTTTTTCTCGGTGAAAAATAATTAATTGTTATACGTCAATAAATCGAAAGACGAGTTAAAACAATGATTAATCGAAGAACGAAAGAATATTCCGCTCAATTACTTAAAGAAAATTACTGGAAATATGCCTAGACGTCTGCGATATGTAATTGAAGTTAAGGACTACCCAACAATATATTAACTATTGTTTATGTTAACAATTTTCAGGTTTAAATATTATAGTTCTTCAAATATCCGAATATTTATGCCATATTGTATTTCGACATAATTCAGTTTATTGTTTGATATTAAAAAAAGTATGTGCAATAAATAAATAAAATTTATGTTACTATAAACTATAATGAATGTTCTAATATATTAAAAAGTTAATCCAAACTTACTATTATAAACAATCGAAGTCCACAACAATATTTTGAATAACATGATATCCGAATATTAATAAGAGTCACTGTATGTATTTCGCCGATGGTTTTAGTGCTAGAAATATAGACATTAGTTGGTAGAAATGCAATACAGCCAGATTTCCACTATTGTCTTTAGCTACAAAAAAATTTCTTACTCTACCTGCCACTCAAACTACGGGTGAAAGACTATTTTTCTTATCCGGAAATATAATAATACCGACTCTAGAGCGAAATTAATATCACAAATTGTTGAGCAATTATCTTTTTTACATTATCATTTAGAGTAAATATTATTACATTTGAAGAAAAAAAAATATGTATATTAAATATTATGAATAATTGATTTCGATAACGCAATATAATTTTTTCCAACTCGATCCGAGATAGACGGACTACCCGGAATAGTCGGATACTCGCACACTTCTAGTTGTAACGAATATGCGAAAAATCTAATTTGTAGCACGAGTTATAATAAGTAATAGTTTCCTTTCTATGTGTATATACATGTATATGTATAAAGAAACGACTAATCTTTCTATGTCCGTTCGTTTTTCTCGTTCAAGCCAAGCGTGTTATATACTGTGCACGAAATATATACATATATAGAAGTGAGTCTCAAACTTGCAATTATTCCTTTGAATATTATATCTGCTCTTCAAATTAGTTTCATTAATATGTTTCTTTTGATCATTCCGATGCTCGGAATCTCTCTCTCTCTCTCTCTCTCTCTCTCTCTCTCTCTCTCTCTCATTTGCTCTATCCTTTTCTACGTTCGAATGAGATTCGGGCCATATCTACATTTAGAATTTTTACACCTCTCGATGACTTTTGGATAGACATTGAAATAAAATTATAATTAAAAGAATAAACATTGAAATAAAATTATAATTAAAAGAATTATTTAAGAAACAATATTTTCAAAAATGTTATCCTCTTCTCTTTATGGGAAATATTACGGGAAAATTCATAAAAAATAAAAATCTGAAGCAAGAAATGTAAAAAAAAAAAAGAAAAAGAGGAAATCAATGTTTATTGTATTTCCCATTCCCCCTGTCTTCTTTTCGTTTCATCAACCAGTTTGCAATTAAATCCGATATTCGTGTTTGCAGTCTGCGCATATGGCTGTGATAGAGGGCCTGATGGTCTTATACGCGAAGGAAGTAGTGACTGGAGATCGGGTGGTCTCGGCGATCCGGCGATTCGATCCTCAGGCGGAAGTGGACGTACCAGCGGACCACGAGAAGGGTCTTCTTCTGTGGATCAGTCACGCGTCACACGCGTTGATCGCCAAAATCCAGACAGAGGAGGATGCTGCTGATAAAACGCGGCTACCAGAACTGCCAGCTGCCAAGGACTTCCAATCGTTGTGCGATGGTGTGGGTCTTGCCGCTGTTGTGGCGTTCTACTGCCCCGGCGAGCTCAATTGGATGGACATCAGGGTGTCGAAAAGACCCTCGGTCGCAGACGCGCTGCACAATTTGTCGCTGGTCCACGCATTTTGTAACAGATGCTTACCCTATTCCATTTTTCACATGCAACCTGAGGACGTGACGTACATGAGAGGGTAAGAATTATACATTATACATTTGAACGTATAGATAGAAACATCTGTATATATATTTCCAAATATTAAGAAATACTACAATACATACGTACAGTAAGTGGAAAGATAATAGCGAGATTATGAAATCGCTAATAAAATTTACTTATTTCTAGGCCTGAAATAGCAATTTTAAAATATTTATCCCTTTCAGAAGTAAATTGTATAAATAAAGTAAATGTCAATGACGAGTTATGAAACCATTCATAAATTTGAGGTTTTACGTACTTTATTTATATATTATAGTAAAATATATCTTTAACAAATAAATGATTAAATATCTTAACTAAAGTATAAAATAATAATTATGTTGAATAATAATAATATTTGTTTGTAATAAATATCATTTGATAAAATAGGATATAAATAAAGAGGAAGATACATATATTCAAAACCAGACAATAAAATATGCAAGTTTTGGTTAGTTTTAAAGAAAAATAGGAGACTTCAAAAAATATTTAGCTGATCCGAAAAAAAATTGTCATGTTTACAAATTTGATGGGTATAATTATTCGCAGTAAACATATATTTTCTACCAATTGTAAATTAGGCTTCGTAAGTTCGAGAATGTCAGATCAGTCGACGATTATTTATAACTTTGAAGATCTAAAATACTAGGTTGGATACAAGTCCGCGCTATTCTAGTGTAATACAGTATGTAGTTGTCTTCTAGTCTGAGATTGAGAGTTCGATGATATTATGTCTAGTTTTCGGAATAGACTTATCAATTTTATGAAAAACAGAGCATAAAAATCTATGTTGAATTTTTTCTATGGAACAAGTATGGATTTAGTATATGAGGATTTAAAATAGAAGAACAGTATTCGAAGTATGTAAGTCTAAAGTAAAACAGAAGAGTTTTTGAGTTTGAATATTATCAAAGTTTAATATTATAATATTCTCATGAGCCAAAGATTTTGAAGGATTATTTGTAAAAAATAGATGTTATTATAAAAATGAAAGAAGTATAAAAAATAGAAATGAATACAATTCTAAGATCTCACACAATCATCGATTTTGTAATAGGTATTACATTTGAGAATATTTTAAGATTATATAATTAAAGATATATCATAATTTGAATAAAGAAGCAATAACATTATATAAACATAACTATAAACATAATAACAAATATTATATTTCATAATATTTAAAGTTATTTGTGAAATTCATTATCTCGCTTCTATAGACTGATTATTTAGAAAAGATTTCATCTTATGAAATATTTTAAAATCGTAGGTGTAAAGTAGCAATTGTATTTAATGCATATCAAATAAAAATGCAAGCAAAATAGCCTGCAGGATTGAAATTGGTTCTAATTTATGTAGTGAATGTATATAAGATTAATAATGTTAATTTTTAATATCATAATCTTTTTATTTCACTTAGAATATTTCAGTCTACATTTTATTGTAAAAATGACATTTCTACTAACAATTTTTTTTATATAAAAGAAAAAGATATGAATTACACATTACAATTAACGTTGCATAGATTGTTATATTCACATGATAAATATTCAGTATTACAGTATTTGTAGCAGCAATATGGAATTACATAATCTAAAAAAAGAAAAAAAATTGTAGATAAAATTTTAGGAAGAATATTTTTGAATTAGAAAAATGAAAAATGAAAATTTGATGATTGGTGAAAACAAAAAAAAAAAAAAAAAAAAGAAGTTACAGTTTGTAAAAAAAGTATTACGTCTGTTGCAATAGAGATGTTAACAGAATTAACATTAGAAGAAAGGAGTCATATTAAGCAAATATGACAACAAGAATGAAAAAAGAAATTGAAAATACCATTTGTGTCTTCATGTGGTATACGATCAGTTACAATTTTCAATAATTTTGTATATTAGAATACGATGACTGTATGATTCATAGTAGTCTTCATAGAGACACGCAGCAAGTAAGTAAATAGTGCCGAAAATATATATACATATTATGAAAACAAAGATCCATTATATGTTATTTAAATATCGATTGATTCACTACAAAAGTAAAAGAACTTATATTAGTATTTTTAGGTGAGTGAAAGATATTATAGTCTCTAACAATAAGTATACAATTCATGCTAATAATAACGTCATCAAATCAGGTTTCAATTAAAATTATGATATAGTGACAAATATAGTACATATCTCGATAGCATGTGTGTCAGATTCTACAATTCTCAGATCGCGTACATTCCAACCAAAGGATGTTAGATTTTTTAATTATTACATATATGATTATATAATAATTGTATGATTAAAAATAAAAATATTTTACACTTTTTCTCAGGGATGTATATATAAAGAAATAAAAAAAGTCGTTAGTTTTATACAGAATTGTATAATATCAATATAGGATTACAAAAATTTATAAGTTCTTTCATAAAAATTTATGTGAAAATTTATAACAAATTTCTTTAAATAAAATTAGATGAACCTCATAAATTAAAATGGATATCTTGGAATTCATAATCATATGTGTATGAAAATAAGAATCTTGTGAAGATTGTAATTTCAGAAATAGTAAGGATAATTCATTTGGCTTGTCAAAGGCTCAAATATGGATCTTTGTGTTTGTTTCTTGCATTTATTTTTATTTTATTTAGTTTTTGAAAAGAACGTGTATTTATGCTGCTTTTTACTAACAATGTATGATCTTTTAGCTGTATATAAACTGATAGTCATATTTGCTATTAATTATGGATATGTTTTATCTTAAGTTACGAATTTTGATAGAAATGACTAATTTTAAATAAATACATTTTTGCTTTTTTATCAATGCGAACCATATTTATTTGAATAGTTTTATTTATTTGAGTTTAATTTTATGTTATGTAAAGATTAATAATGTAAAATTTATCATATTTATTTGATAATATTTTGAGAAAGAATTTATTATAAAAGTAAATTTATTACATATTTATTTACATTATCTATCTTTTCATTTACACATTTAATCTCTTTGTTTTTCCATTATTTTTGATATCTTATTTTTGATTTATTAATTCAAATTTACAAAGGTTTTCTATCAAAAATTTATATAAATGAATAAATTTTCTTTTTATAAATTTATTCATAAATTATAGCAATTATATGATAAAGAAAGTATCTTTTATCATCTTTCTTCAAACAAAGAAAATAAATACAACGTCATCTACTTGTAATGAAACTTTTAATTTTTACGTAACTTTTATTATTTCTAACTTTTGAATTTCTCAAATTCAACACGCAGATTAAATTATCGAAAAATAAGTTTCTCGATAGTAACCCACTCTGCTAATTAAATTAGTATAAGTGTTCTAAAATTAATTTTCCAATAATCCAAGCAATTTTGTATGTTTTAATTTTATATATTTTGTATATTTTAACTTTTGTAATTTATATTATGCTTAAATAAAATTTATACAATATAATAATTATATAATTTATATAAAATTGGAGAATAATGATAAAATTAAATGAAAAATTGAATTGAACTTGATTTTATTATTATAAAATTCTTTTCTAATTCAATTTTTTTCATAGAAAATGAAATTGATGATTTACTTCAGTATTACCATGAACGTTATCTATTAAATAATGGTTCGTATTTAAATAATCCATTTCTTTTTTTTGTACTAGATCTATGAAGCAAAATTTAGTCGTTTTCCTGGCCGATATGTACAACGTATTGGAAATTCATCCGGTGAAGTGTGTACGTTACCCAGGCGAGGAAAGGGCAATGCAGTTCTTAGATGGTACGTAAAGTATTAAGAACCAGAATGGCGGTTTCCAATTAAAAAGCATTGGACAGACTTGTTCGACACTATGAACGCATCCTTTTATCAGGAAGGGCTAATGAATTTTGGTATCGGATTAATGTGATTGGTGAAGGCTGCGTACATTCTGTATTGGACTTACCCGTTCTATAATTTATTTTATTATACTTTTTTTTCATGGAATTCCGCTTCTGTTGCGAGCAATTTCTACTTCTGTATTTGTACAAAATTTGTTGCATATTACAAGGTAAGAAAAAAATATTTAAAAAATCTGGTCTGTTAACTATGATTCTTCGAAGCATTTAAATTTTCTTTTTATTTCATCTCTTGGTACTGGCAAAAAGTTTAAATAGAAAGATGGACTAAAAGAAATAAATCATCTATCTTTGATGTTAATGGTAGATGATGATTTATGCTTTGTTCTACATATGTAATTAAAATAATGAATAATATGAATTTTTATCATTTTTTACTTTCGACAATATTAATAGCTGAATTTGCGAAGGGATAAAACCTTCAGATTTTATATTTGGATACAAGAACGGAGAAAAAAATATTTGCAGAATAAAATATTTATGGAATTGTTTTTAAGAAGAATAAAATATACAATAATTAAAATATAGTACATTGTACATCTATAGCAAATACATTTTCGTCTGATTATTTAAAATCTTTTATTCAAAAGATATCAATAATTTTTTATGACATGGAATAAATTTATAAAATATTTTTTTATTATTCAATATTATTTTATTTATCATTAATTTATACTTTATACATAATACATGCTAATAATGTACATAAAAATTCAAAAACCTTTTCTCACTCTTTTTTAGTTATTGTGATATATTTTTTATTCGTATATAATATAATTATATATATGTAATACAATAATTAATATATATATGATATAAAATAATATGTTGCAATAACTAAAAAAAAGAGTGAGAAAATTGTATTATATATAATCCATATATAATTTCTTTAAATGAGAAAATTAAAATTCTGAAGGTATAAGATCACTTATATATAGTGGAAAATCAACCTATTCTTTTGTAAATAAAATTTTATTTTTTAAACTAATCGAATAATTTGTAACATATAAATTGCAATATATCGCGTTACTGTTTGTCCTATCTTCAAAAATAATGTGCGACAGAATTTTTCTAATATCTCACACGCTATGTGTACACAATTTCTAGCTACTGCCTTACGAAATAGAACATTGCTCGCAGTTGGAACGGTATCACGCTTTTTATCAGTGTCAGTACACACACTCGTTCCCAGTCTCGAGATCCAGGTTCCTAGCAGCGACTAATAAACCCATCTGTATGTTTTCTATACGGATATGAGTATACAAACAAAAATTAAGTCGAACTATATCTATATTGTTTCGCAATTAATAATAAAATTTACTTTAAAGAAAGGGGAAAAACAGTTGCAAGAAAAAAGAAAGAAAGAACAAAACAGCGACAATCCTCCACATAATTATATCACTTAATGTAAAACTGTAATATTTCCATATATTTCTATGGCGTAACCTTCTTGATGCTTGACAACAACGCTATCCTCGCCTTCTTCTTTCGTCAACTTCCGGTTGCCAATGAACGAATATGGTGCGGTGACGGGTGCAGCCTGCCCGCGCAATAGTCATGGCGTAGCTCATAAAAGAAGTCTGCCACAGTCTATAGCTCCGATACCTGATCTGAGAAGCAACCTCTCCGTATCCGCGCCAGGCTTCACAGGTACCCACACGTTACCAAACAACCAAAAATCATGAAACTGAATGGTCTTCTCTGAATCGTGTTTCCGCCGACTGGCGCGTGTCGATTTGAACCAAAAAAAAGATCGTAAAGAACATGAAAGAGTATGAAAACGTTTAGGTCTTCCAAGAAATCAACAATCTCTCCAGTTTGTCGTTTGTTCCTTGATGTTTTTTTTTTACTTTCTTCTTCTTTTTTTTTTTTACTTTTAATTGTATTTTAATATTTAGTTGTATCTTAGTTTGACCTTTTCAGTTTCCTTGTCTTTTTTTTTTTCTTGTCTTCTTTAGATTTACTACATTTTAAATGCAACGCATTTTCTTTTTCCTTGAATGAGGCGAAGATGTACCCTGAATACATGCGCGAATTTGAAAATAAAATGTGGAATTATTACATGGAGTGCCCCAGGTGTTTTCCATTAAATTATCATATTCTATTAGTAAGAATATTTTATAAATAAGAATAATATATAAGAATAAGAACAATATATATTATTAACTTGAAAACTAATCGGTTATTATTTTATATTATTTATATTGTTATAATTATACTGTGGATTTTTACATATTTATGTGAAATTTATAAATGCAAAAATACATACAATGTATATATTATATATTTGTGCATGAAATATACAAAGTAGAGTATTGATCATAATCTTTAATAAGTGAAACAAATTTCTATTCTATTTTATTCTATTCTATTTATTCATATATTCAGAGAAATATAAAAATGCATACAAATATGTAATCTAATTATAACTTTTCAATTAATTATTCATGAAGCTATTTTCTTAAAAAACATTCTCTGTATCAAAAGCAAGTATTCTCGCATAAAAAGACAATATTATTATTAAAATGAGAATTTAAAATATTTAATTAATAAATATTTAATAATAGAATTAATTCAAACAATTATAATATTGAGTTGTTTGAAAAATTTGTAACATGTTATAGATAGAAGAAAGAAATTTTCCGGAGATATTACTAAAAGAAAAAAAGTATTATTGGAGCGAGTATTTTTTCTTAAATGTTCAATTTTAAAACTTTAAAACTTTAAAACTTTATTTTCTTCTAAATAATTTTCTTAAATCTCAATACTTAATGAAATTCAATGTTATTTTATTGATTAACAATCACTTCTCTATTGATCAATCCAAAATAAATTTTCTACTGATCATTTTCTTTAATTACTATATTTAATGCACTAGAAATGACATTTATTCTAATTTAACAAAAGTTTAAATCGAACTCGCAAGAAACACAGTAGAATTTAATATCGATTGCTAAAAAACGCTACAAATTTTCCGAGCAATATAATAAATTCAATTCATTCATTAATGATTAAATCACGTAAAAAATTGTATTTCAATGTTCGCGCAGGTATATACGGCAAAGTTACTTCTTTTAGATATACTAGTTTTCTAATAATTTCGAGTACAATGATCGAAACAATATTCTCAGTCTTTTTAACTAATTTATTTTCGAAGATCGCATAACATCAATTTTTGTTCTATAAATTCATCGCCGTTGTAGTAACAATATATTCTACAATATATACAAGAAGCAGGATTTTAACTAAAACATACTGAAAGTAATAGACAAACTCAGGAACAACCGTACAAATGATTTAAAAAAGTATTGTAGTTTTATCTTTTCGTAAAAAGATAATATTAAAAAAGAAAGATAAAGAAAAAAACAAAAAAGAAGAAAAGACAAAACAAATATAAAATGCGTTCTGCATTTAAAACGTGGCCAGATGTTTTAGACTTAGCTGTGTAACAAAGCGCAGATACTATTAGGCGCACTGCTTCTTACTAACCATATTATTTGCGTATTATTTTATGCCATGATGAAGTAGCGATCTTCTTCAGTCATTAAGATTGCATGAAAAACATGTGTGTTTGCGCATTTTTGTGACAAGAAATGAAACCTAAGAAACGTTCATTCTCACCGTTTTGTTGCTGCTTGCGTTAACGTTAGCTTTCCGTTTTCTTTTCATTTTGCATGATGCCTCCTCTTTGTCTTAATGTCATATTGACTGATACAGGGAGAAATCTCAACAATTCATTAATATATCCACTCCATATTAAGTTAGTATACTTGTTTTGCAACGTACATTGTCTACGTTATTGCGTGTTTTGTATTTTTTGTGTTGGTTCGATGATCCTGATTACCTTGTTTCATTTTTCTCCTCTATTTCATTCGTTCTGAATGGGTTGTTAAAATTTTTTTTCTGTGTGACACATTACCACGGCTAGAGATTAGTTTGTATAGCTCCAATTAACTTTTATCCATCGAGTGTATATTTTTCCAGTGTATGATAACATTAGTTTTTATTCAATAGATATACTGATTTTTGAGATTTGTGTGTTTCGAAATTTCTATGGCCTAGCGACGAATTGATCGTAACATATTTTTGTAGCGATAAATTGCGGTTTATTTGCCAATGTAGAACAGTTTTTTTTTTTTTTCCAATAGTATATAGAAATTTCGCACATGAATTATCTTATTCGGTGCATCATAATGCAACTTAATGTTTTCACACAAATTGAAGGATCCTTCTGAACTTCTGTTGTTCCACGTGTCAGAAGTGATTATTAATTTAGATATTGACACCATTTTATAAGATACATAAATAAAAGATCGCTATAGCATTGAATTATTTTCTAGTTGCAAAAGCACCGTCATCTTCTTCCGTCAAGAAATCACAATCACTGCAACAAACTGCCGAAAATTATTCTCACGACGACAGGTACGTTTTCACGTTTTATTTTCATATTTATTTTTGAACAAATTTTAGTAATTTGAAATGATTTATTTTTCATATAATTCAATGAGTAAAAACTTTGTAATTTTGTAATTTTCTCTGATGAGAGAAAAATTCAAGACAATTTGGAAAAAAAAATATAAGGTCGTGAAAAAATTAATATAATATAAAGATTAATAAGTATTGAATAAGAAGAAGAAAATTAATATAATATAAAGATTAATAAATATTGAATAAGAAGTCAAAATAAATAATTTCTCTAATAATTATTTATCTCTGGTTTGTAATATTGATTAACTCTCAAATATAGATTTTAATTGAATAAGAACAAACAGAGTTTAATTGAAACACTAATTTTAGTTTCATTTTATTAAACTTAGAGATACATAATTATTTAAACATAATTTACACTAACTGAAAGAGTATTTTATTGAGATTTGTTCTTAAAATCTTTTGGACATTTTTTTATGAAATACTTAAAGACATTTATAAAGTGAACCGACCAAATAGAGAATAATATAAATATAAACCCTCAAACGCGTTTGTTCAAGGAAAAAACCGTTTCCAATTACTCATATGAAATAAAAAGTTTCAAAATATTTATTTGATTAGGATTAGGATTAGTATTTCGTTGTAAGGAATAATAGCGAGTTGAATTGATCTTTTTATAACTTACATAAAGCAAAAAGAAAAGTTTTTAATTTTGTTAACTAAATTAATAGTAAAGTTGTAGAAAAGCTACTTCCTCTCTAATCTCGATGATTTGAATATATCAATATTTCAAATAACATTTTCTTGTATGTATCTTATTTTAATCTATGAATGCAATTATTTCCAAAACTATTCAGAAAATGTCAGAGGGTAATAAATTTGGTACACTTAATTTGTCTCTAGATAGAAGCGTGTAGGAAGTATGAAGATCACTACTACTATTTTTTGAAATATAATTATGTAGTTTTTTCTTGCACCAATCAATGCAGCAGATCATTCTCTATGAAAAAAGTATCTACGTCTAAAACCCATTAATTTAGGAAATATTTTGATTTCAATCTTGCGGATACATTGTACTTTTCGTTTTAAGTTATTCGACTTCAAATAATGCTTGTGGCGTGTGTTGATTATGATAAATACGTTTTCTCCTACTCAAATTCCACTATTAGTTATTGGAGATATTAGATTCACAACTGTGGGCTGTTCAGTAAATGATTTCTATTGTATTAGTGTATTAAAAATACTTTTTTTCTATAGAGAACAACCTGCTACGTCGATTATTGCAAAAAAATTATATAATTACACTTGAAAAAATAGTATATTGACCTTCATATTTCCTACACACGTCTATCTAGAGACGTCTAAGTGTACCAAATTAATGCGCTCTCAAAACAAAAAGAAAAAAAATGCATTTGAGATATTTTTTAAATAACAAATAGTTTCAGAAATAATTGCATTTATAAATTAAATTAATGGGGCACCCTGTATAACCTGTCGGCCTAGAGATATTCGCAAAAAATTCAATACTCTACTACAATTTTGTCTATAATTATGTGTTTGTAGCAGCCTATGTATTAATATTAATTGTTCATTTCTTTACGACGCGGTGCAGAGGCATAATAAACTAATTCAAATTAATTTTTATCTCTTGTTTATAATATATACAGACTTCACTAAAATATTACAAGCCATTTTCTTGGAAATCATAGTAGCCATCGATTAATTTTTTTTTTAATTCGGTACAAATTAAAGGTGATCGTTTGAATGTGAAAGGGAATCTTTTTATGTTTTTTTGAAAAATATAGTATATTCTTTTCTTTTAAATAGCTCTTATAAAATTGTATAACATTTATTTGAAGTATTTTTCGTTATCCTATTATTAATTAAAATAAACATTCTGCGTATAAACGTTCTGAGCATTCATTTTATTAAATGTTCGAAATGTTGACCGTTAACTTCTAAACAGTTATTTAATCTTTACATCATATTATTTCTTATATCTATCAATATTATTGAAGTTACGAATTTATGTGCATTTTGTATTCTATTCTGTTCCTGTGAAAAAGAAAAAGTTGTTCAAAATGTTAATACAATATATCCAAAAATTATCGAAATCATAGGGGAAGCAGCTTCTCTACAACTTCAACAAATTAATTCTTCGCCGACTGTATGACAACATTGAAACTGTACATTGAAATTTAAAAACAACTAACGAAGAAAAATAGATATAACATTTCACAATATGTATGTAGTTTTAAAAAAAATATATTTAGACACGCTACAAACTACAAATTTCCATATTTTTGAAATAGTTATGAACAACCTTTATAAGTTGTGTAGATTATTACACTCCTTACATTTCATAGTCCTCTATAGATCATATAGATCACCATTTTTTCATATGTCGTCTTTTATGCGTGGTATGGATTTAAATTTTTTTTTATATTATATTTTAAGATCAAGATTTACTTTTGTTTATAAATTGCCTGACTTGCAAATATATAATACATATAATACATCGACACAATATGGTAAATGTATTTTATTTATTGTATTTTTTTAGTTGCTAATTCTGTTGACACTACAATTCCTCAAAATCGGTCAACTTATCTTGACCGATTATAACAGTAGATTTGTTTATTTCCGACATATCTTTCATGTCTAAATGTTCATTAGTAAAAAAAGAAATCTAAGTCCATACGATCTATAAATAACGATGGAATGAAGAAACGACAATAAATGATGATGGAATAACAATAGACAATGACGAAGTGTGAAGAAGTAAGTAAAAATTTATACGACATATAGAGGTTATCGTTAAGAGATTAACTTTGAAGATTTACACATGGTTATTTACATCTATATATGTATTTATACAGAGTAATTCTCGTAATTGTTATGTCTTAAGAATTATGACAAGTTATATCTTAACCTTCGGAAGGCCAACCCTGGGTATTTTTGGACCCATACTAATATATACTTTAAAAATATTTTTTTTTATTAAAATTGTGTATTATTATGCATCTAAAGGATAGGACAATAAAATGCAGAATACAAGAAAATTATTTTTTTATTCGTCATTTTCACAATTGGTATGAATTTTACAAATAAATCTATTACATTTGATAGTAAACTTATTGTTTGCCCATGCAAATGTTTCGCGATGTGCTTGGCCGTTGAGTTTCCTTTTGAATCCTTCTTCCGGTACTTTCGATGGCATTTACCACATGTTTTTGAAAAGTTGTTTCTCCATTTTCAAATTGTATAGCTCGACTTTCAATCTTATTCACATGTAATTCCTCTGCTAATTTTTCAAGAAATATTTTTCGTTTGTAACGGGTGAAGTTATGATTTTCCCACTCTGGGTTTTTTGTCAGTCATACGACAAACGCATATGCTGCTATGACAGTGTTGTGCATGAACAAAGCCACCGACGTGTACACTTTCTACATGCATATTCTCTAAGCAGTTTGTCGAAGGTGTCTACACCAGTTTTGGTGGAATTATAATAGGTAATAATATTGGGTTCATAATTATTTTCGGGTCCCGAAATATCACGTTCACGATGCAAACTGGAAGGTAATACGACACATTTCCGTGGTTTAGGCACGTAAGAGACGAGCGTAAGATTATTAGTAAATAAAAATTTGGAAGAATATTGTTCCCTTCTAAGTGTTTAAGTTCATTGATTTGGTCAAATCTTTTCTATTTTTCCTCATGGTTCCCACAAGAAATAATTTATCTTCTAATAGTTTTTCTGCTAAACTGATGTCCGTAGAAAAATTATCGGACGTTATTATACGACCAGTTTGTTTCCAAAAAGTGGTTAATTGCGTAACCACGCATTGTTCCTGATTTTTTCTACTGTTTATGTCCTGTTTTCCTCGAGTATACATCAAAGTTACAACAATAAAATATTCTTACATCGCATAGTGACCATATTTTCACTCCGTACTTTCCAGGTTTACTAGGAATATAAACCTTGAAAGGACAGCGTCCTCGAAATATCATCAATTGTTCATCAATCGTGCCTTTTTTTGAAGAATTGTAAGATTCACGACAATTTCTTGTAGAAGTATATGTTACACTTAGAATTGCTGTTAGCTTATCACAAGATTTTCTTTCTTCTCGTGTTGTATTGTCGTCGGATAAATCTAAGGATATCTTTGAACCTGTTACGAGACATAATGGCTTGATAAGGTTTTATTTTTTCGCCATAAATGATTTTTGTATTCCCGATTTTCTAAAACGACCAATAATGAGTAACAGGCCCATGAAAGCATTTATTTCAATTCGATCTACTGACTTCTAACTCTCATCTTTATAAAACTGCTTCGCTTTTTGATTGGTATACATAACTATTGTATCAATAATTTCGTTATCAATAAATAAGTGAAAACATTGTCTTATAGTTTCGACATTTTAACTTTCGTGATCAATAATTGATCTTGAATATTATATGATATATTATTTGCAGGGGCAATGTATTTCCATGTTCAGCCAGAAACAATTTCATTTCTGGGATCAGTATCTTCATCTGATACAGTTGCAAAAAAAATATCGTCCACCTCAGAATCTTGAATTTCAGGTTCAATATCGCTTTAAAAACTATAATCATCATCCGAAGAATTATCACTGTTTTCAGGGTCTTCTAATTGTCTAAAGACAATTATTACTACGATTATATTACTACAAGTAGAATTTTACACAGAAACGGAATAGAATTTTACACAGCACTTCACTGTTCGTCTTTATGCTAAATACTGATAGGAACTGTATTCAACAAGCACATTGTATGTAACATTGTTCACATACTTTAGAGATTAAATGTGACTCCAGGATTGGCCGGCCGACGGTTAAGAGTGGTAAGAGATAAAAAAAAATTGTAAAGAAAATTGATTGGTACGACGTGATCTACTTTCCTGCACCTAGAAAATGAAGATGAAATTTTTTTCTTAACTGAACTTAACTGAAATCATATTTTTTCTATCATATATTAATCGATGAAGCTCAACAATTCCTATAAAAAAAAGTATTAATTTATGTATGTTAAAAAATTATTAGTTTAGGAGATATTTTAACTTTAATTTTATAAAATCTGTGCATAAAAAACAAGAACAGTATGAATGCAAGAACATTGTTCTTGTTCTTCCTCGTCTTTTGTACGATGAATTTTATAAAAATGAAATTAAAATATCTATTAAATTAATAATTTTTCGACATACACAGATTAGTACTTTTTTTTATAGAGAATGTCGAGCTACGACTAGTATATAAAAAAATGTATGATTTCATTTTAAAAAAAGTTGTATCTGTATTTTCTAGGTGCATCGTTGCTAGGTGCACTTATAAAAAAGAAAATAAGTTTGCAGAAAAGTAAGTCCTCTTATACCAATTAATTTTCTCCTTTACAACTTTTTCTTGTATCTTCTGCCATTGAGATATAACTTGTCACAATTCTATATTTTGTTGAGCAAATCAAATCAGTAGAGGTAAACAAATTTGCAGGTAATAGATGCAAACGATTTCAGCTGTAACAAATAGCCAGGAGCGGATTTTGAGAATTCAAGAAAAATAGATAGAGTAATTTAAAGATAGTAAATGTGCTCCAACTGTATTTTTTTTTTTTTTTTACTAATTCGACTCGTTGGACTCGCATGTAATATTTCTGATATTATATTTTAAAAAGAATATAGAATTTCTCAAAAATATACAGTAGAGTAATCCCTTAAGTAGTATCTAAAACAATTATTCTTCTTGTGTGTTTTTTCAAAAAGACATACAATAGATTTATTCACGTAAATCTACCAAGAAACAGATTGAAAATTGTTTCATATAATAAAAATTCACTGATTTTTCCTCACTGTCTACGATTTCTTTTCCTAAACAGTTCGATTAACTAAGGAATTAATCAATTCATAGAATTTGTTCATAGAAAGCCAGTTCTATTATATTTTTGTTACGCTTTGGTTTTGCAATTATTTCTCGTCATATATCTGATTTACAATCATTTCGCAGACGAGCAGGAAGCGAAGAAAGTTTCGTAGTCCATCGTGGCAAAGGTATCCCTACGTTAAGCTCTGTGGCAGATGAAAAATCTACAACTAGAGCGGACGCCGCTGGTCGGCCGAGCAACTGGGAAGAACAGAGAAGAAGCTCGTATGCTGGCCGACGATCTAGGCGTAATAGCGTTTCGGACGATTCTCAGTTGACTATCGAGAACTTTGGTGGATCTCAAGTGAGTGATCACAGCTAATATCAATTACTCAGACAGAAAATAAGTAAAAGAGAATAATCGAGTGACGGCATTTCCTCTACAGGATAATTTACACAACTTCGGCAGAAATCCGGATAAAGAAGTTGGAGCACATATTGGTAAACGAAGCACCACAGAACCAACGCTACCGGCGAGATCTAGCGTTCAGGATGTGTATGGCAGCGGAGTGCAACACATTTTGTCCGATAACGGATACGATAAGGAAGGGCCGCCAAGATTGAGACGACAAACCTCGAATTCCAGCTTAGACAACGTCACGCTCAAACAAGTTTTACATTCCAGTGAGAACGTTAATTCGGATGGGGATACATCCAAGTTAGCTAGCTTTGCAAACCTAAGCAGGCAAAGTTCTGAGAAAGGGATCAACCTGACCTATACGGAACAAGAACGTGACGACAGTAAATCGAATTTGTCAAATAAGAAACTTGGCCAAAGCAATGGAAACAGGAATGGCGAGAAGAAAACAACGTTTGCTACGTTACCGAATACAACAACATGGCAGCAACAAAGTAATCAGCAGTCTCAACAGGTGGAACAACATTCTGTCGGTATGTATTTGTTATTTGAAGAAAATGTAATATTGACGGGCTCTTCTGACATTTATGGAAATAAATAATGTGATCATGCTGACAGACGAAAATGGAGGTAACACAATTATGGCTTCCCAACTGAATAATATTAGATTAAAGCTGGAGGAGAAACGTCGTCATATAGAAAACGAGAAGAGGAGGATGGAAGTTGTGATGTCGAAACAGCGGCAGAAAGTGGGCAAAGCCGCGTTCCTACAAGCTGTCACGAAGGTAATATACCTGATTACACTCGAAAAAAAATGACCGTAAACTTCACGTTTTTGATTTTCTAAAATTTCATAAACGAGTTTCAGCCAGATCACTTTCATGGCCTCTTTAATGATTTGTTTCCTTCATCAAAAAATGCATCATTAACAAAATATGAGAATAAATATTTTTAGAAGATACATGCATATATAATTCTTTTTCTCATTTTTCAATTACAGTATAACGAAGAACTTTGTTCTCGTACAAAAATAGGGAAAAAACTTAAATTGAAATGAAACAGAACATTGAATATAGCCATGAGGTATTTGAAATTTAGCCACGGGTGTTTAGTATAGAGCAATGCATAATTATATTGTATCGAACGTCGAACAGTTTCTTTTTCTTCTGCAGAATGAAATATTTTTAAATTTACAAGCAATTCGATATTTATTGCTTATATCATTTCATTTGATTTTATATTTAGGTGTATTATATTCAATTATTGTGAAGTAGCATTGCAAGTGAGTTTGCATAATAATGTTCTATTTCAGGTAAATGCCGCATATTTTTCGATATTTGTTAATTTCTTTTCGTGACATTTATATTTCTATTATACAGGGTGGGCCAAAAATCACTTCCTACTAAAATAAATCCGTATTTTTTTTTTATTAATTTTCGAACGCTTTGGCGATTAACATTTGAAAGAAATAATTTTTGAAACATAATGAAAAAATTATGTTTGAACTTAATTTAATTTAAAATTAATAAAATTAGTTACATTTTGATATTTTATTAAAAAAAAAAAAAAAAAAGTGAGAAGAAACTTTTGGGCTATCCTATATTATTAGCTTTTGGAGTAATGATTCTTGTGTGTAGTTGCAAATGTGACATAATTTTGATGCCTATCATGGTTAATGCAGATAATCTTTATTGCCAGCTATACTATTGTAATACGTTTTTCTTTCTTATCTTTCAGCTGTACTTGGTGGTAAGTGCATGCTGATATGATAAAGTTTTATTATTACAGAATTATAAGATTAAATATAGACCACACATCTTGTATAATAAAATAGATCATCAATTTCTTAGATGCAATTCTTATTTTTCCGCTTTATATGTGTTTATATAAAAATATTTCTAAATAAGTAATGTAAAGAATAGTACTAAAGAACAATTAACAATTTGAATTAATCTGGTGATGGTATGCATGCTTTACATTAGCGATTGTTAACTGAGAAAGTTATATTCAAGTTGATTTTTTTTCTATTGATAATAAATATAAAACTAAAAAATTAGATGACTTAAATTTAGATGAAACACAAAATTATTATTAATAATTATAGCTTCTAGTAAAGATAATTTATATTCACGATTACAAGAGACAATAGTAAAAATGTTATATTCCCTTTCCAAGTTTTTCAAATAATGAAATAGACTTCCATTTTAGTAAAAAGTTTGGTGTATTATGAACGTTCTATTTCTTTGGAAAAAAAAAAAAATTATTAAATCGTGCAATAGTGAAAAAAGCCATTGGCAATGAAGTATTTGCAAGTCTTTGAATTGGCTTTGGCATTTAGTGCTTGAATGTAACGTATACTTGGCTGTGGAGAAGTCCGACCATGGTGTGGTGGTTGACATATTGGACTCGGCATATACGGACTCCAAGTACTTAACAAGGCACGGTGCTTGGGCTGGTTGCAGGGTAAGGTTAAATCTCCCTCTTCATCAACGTCTGGGGGGGACAGTCCGGCTGAAATTGGTCCCCCCACTCCTGTAACCTCCGGATCTTCGGGGGATACCCCGACAAGTGTTTCCGAGACGACCCCTGTAACCCAACAACCCTCTCAAGAAAAACCACAGAGACCCTTCTCGCTCAAGGTACGATATAATAATGTTCTTGTAGATGAACATTTGAAAAAAAAAAATTTGCTGATTTGTCTAGCAATTTACATACATGGCTTATGTATGGCTTCTAGACATTCGTTAACTTCTTTTGTACCTTTGCTTTTGAGAATATCATTAAAAATATTTTGATCATTTATTTTTATATATTCTTAATATATGAAATACGTAACAATAATAATTGCCTTAGTATGCTGCAAGTAAGATTGAAAATGTGCTTTCTACAGTTTTTTTTATCAAAAAATAATTTCAATTGAGTCTTTTTTTTAACAACAAATGATTATTCTGCTTCTTATTGCTTACATTTAGTCATAGAGGAAAACGAAACAGCCCCAATGCATTCTGTGGTCTTTGATCAAGTTTGCTACTCGGTTCCCACGTTTCAATGCAATCTTGTAAAATATCGCTCTCGGAACGCATGGTACAGTACTAAACACTCCCTGGATAAGAATCTATAGAGATGTGTTTGGAATTTGATTTAAAATTATTATTTGTGGTGGTGGTTTTTTTACATTTGTGTTCTAAATCTATTCACAGAACAAAACAGCACAAAAACATTAACAAAACCAACTTATGTTGGAATACATATGTAATGTATGTATGAATACTGAACTGATTTGATATGTATATATCTTTATCTGCGTAGTTAATTGTAGACATTCTAATCTATGTTTGTTATAATTTTACCTACTTAAGGAAAAATTAAAAGGCAATTTCAGCACTTAAAATTGTTATAGAAAATTAAAATTTATAAATTGGCGCTAAGCTCGTTAATAATCTTTAACTTAAATGATCATCAATAATATTATATTATTTTTCACACATTAAATTCTCATTTACTTATGCACTTGTAGGTACATTATTTATTTTTAATTTAAGTAATGAATTGAAAATTTGATTTACAATATTCTATAAATATTTTGATAAAGCTATCTTATTTATTCAGTTTAATTACTTTTTTCTCTCATTCACAATTCTATCTTTCTATTTTATTTATTACTTTGTTATTCTAATCTATTTTATCCTGTTCTTTCTATTTTACTCTATTCTACTTATGGTTCTTTTTTTTTCTTTTTTTTTTTAGCCTCTCAAATCAAATTTCAGCTTTATTTTTCCTCCCGCTCACTGTCTTCCAATCTTTGTTGTTTTTTATCTTTTTATATTCCCTTGTACTTGAAATTTTCAAACCTGTCTCCGCACAAACCATATCGCCTCTTTCTCTTTCTCCTATTGTTTATTTCATGGTTCCAAATTGTTGCATCTTGCCTGGATAACCAGCTTTTGGCTCCCACTTTTATCTTTCTTATTTAGGTATTCTGATAATTCTATTGAAATTCTAATGTACTGTATTTGAATTTTTCTATTTTTTATTTTTCTATTTTTGTGTCTTTGTTTTATCATCTTTCCTTCTTTTTTCCATTCCTATTTGACTCCTACTTTCTAATCCTCGTCTTTTCTCGCTTTCCTTCCCTCCCTCTCCGCACTTCTGGTCTGTACTTTTTTTGTTTTCTTTTCCTCCAAGCATCCTCTAGCTATCTTCCTTTCTGTATTGTTTTCTAATTTTTCTTTAAATTTCCATGCATTTATTCCTATTATATCTCTTTATTTCATTTAACACCACCTCTAACAGGTAATCCGGAGTACATATGTCTAATTCCAGTGATCACTTCTTGTATTTTAATTGCACTCTTTCCACATCGGCTCTTTTTTTGAATCTCTACAACTCTGACCTATATGACAATACTCCAAATATCAATGAGTCAAACTGAAACATTCTTATTTTGAAGTCTGCTTTAAATTTTCTCTTACCTATTGATTTAATGTTACGTTTATTCTTTTTTATCATGTTTTCTATGTCTCCTGCTATACTCATTCTTTTGGAATCTCACTTCCAAGTATATGAATTTCTTTCTTCTGTTTTTCCTTTTCGTTTCTAACTCTCTTCTTTTCTTCCTCTTCCACCTCTTTTCTTAAAAATCATTATCATGATTTTATCTACATTCAATATCAATTCTTGATATGTAGAAATATTTATACATTTGTCAAAAGATATATATTATGTTATGATCTTACATTACTATTATTTTGGATCAAACATAAAATAACTAATGTACCTGTAGGTACTCAATATATTAATATTATCAGACAATATTTTCTTTACATCTTTTAAATAATTCTTCAATATTTATATCAATGACCATAGGAAATTAGTGAAGATGTTCGGGATGTTGAACACAAGTGGTTGGAGCATGATGGTAATGCACCATTTATTGAAACAAGACGCACTCCAGACATTGAGAATATGGATCTTGAACAATATCATCAGTCTATATCACAGTCAGTATTCATTTTTTTATTTATAATATACATTTAATTTTCTGAAATCTATTGAAAAAAAACATATATACATCTTTCCACAGAATGAATACAAGTCTTAGTGAAATACAAGCTGATATACAACGTTTAGCTAATCAGCAAAATCAAATACAGCAGCAGCATCTAATGACACAACATCAACAACAAATGCAACAACAACTTCAGCAGTTACAAAGTCTTAGTCAACAACATATGCAAGTATGTACTATTTTTCAGTTTTTATTATATTAATTTATTTGTTTTATGGTAATGTATTTTTTCTTTGTTTAGAATTTTGGAATGGCACCTATGAATCCATTGACATCAAAATTACAAGATACTCAACAATCACAGTTTTATTTACATGATCAACCCCAACTGCAAAGACGAATGTGGGGTCAGCCACCTCCAACACAAAGCTTAGCGAATGAAATGGCTGCTGTGAGCTATCAACAATCAATAGATCCACGATATAGTACTCAATCAACACGTATGTGTATTATAATAGAATATAATTGACTGATATTGTAATTTTTAACAAAAATCTTTTAAAACTTCGTGTAGCTTATCAACAAGATATGCGTTTATATCAAGAGACACGGAATTGGGGAACACATCCACCTCAACAGAAAGGATTTGTTTTACATGATACTCCACAGGAACCGAGATATCTCAATGGCGGAGATCATAGTCTTTGTAATAATCAAATGAGTCATCCTGGTTCTACATATCCATCATCTACATCTATCTTTAATCAAACACCACCATCTTCTGCTAGTCCACAACATCGTAATGCTGTAAGTATAATGATCTTCAGCTATTTTATTTGATTGTTTTTTTTAATAATTAATAAGCAAAAATTTGTACATTCATTTTTATTTATCTATTACTTGAACTTCTATTTTATCTGTAGAATATTAAAACATATCCCATATCTTAAATTTTTAGCTTTGTTTTAATTTATATATTTTAAATAAAATTTATGTTTTAAGCACATAAAAAATAAAAATAAGAAATCATTATATACATTTTTATAATATTAACTTAAAACAATAAAAATATCATTTTATTTTTAAGATAGTATATTCATTACTTTTTTAGTCAATTGGATAGCAAATAAATTGCTTATACATACATATATATATATGTATATACATATATGTATAAGCAAGCACCTGTTATGGAACCAGTTAGTGATGTAATGCACATTTATAGATACTCTCTTCACATTTAGTATAGCAGTCGTTTGAATTGAAGTTTCAACGAGAGCTGTTGCTCTTTCCTTGAATTATCTGTCTTTTTCAAAAATTTATAAAAAATGCAGTTTTTTCTTTCATCTCGTTTTACTAATTCGTACAGTTACCATTATGAGGTCTATTTATTTATATCAGTAATTTTATAATTTATATTATGTGCTATGATTATTTATGACATTGTCATATATTAATATTGTTATTATCAAATTTTTCATTCTTAATTTTATAATAGGTTCATCGAATAAGTCAGTTAATGAGTGAAAGTCCCGAACCAAAAAGGCCAACTGTACATCATATACCAATTAAGTGTGAAAGCCCTACCGAAAAAAGACAAATTACTGCATTGCATGCACCTGTTCCAGCACCACCTGTTGATGACATGAAGCCTCAGAATATATCATTTATTGGTAAGTGTCTTTCTTTTCTATCCATCTAAAAACATGTCATACACAATATTTTCAAGGAATTCATTACATTTATATTTTTGTTTTCATCTACTTTTCGTTCATTCATTCATATGTTTTAAAGGAAATGATGATGAGCTTACTCAAGGTATAAGAGGTTTAAACATCACGTCCGGCAGCCGTACATATAGAATTCCATCACCAACTAGACCTTCAATTTCACGTAATTCATTTCAACCCCATCCATCACTAAGAGAAGCCACACCATCTCCATCAGGTACACCAGAGGTAACACCTCTAGATCCAATGGATGCTGGTGAAAAAGGATTCTATATTTGTTTTGATAATGACGCACCAAAGAAACCAAAACCAACTCTAAGAGTAAAAAGAACATCTCCCAAAAAGGTGAATATATCATATATTTCTAAAATTTGAAAATCCGTATGCAAAACATATAAACATGTATATATATATATATATATATACATACGTACATAGTGTGTGATGAATTGCAAACATATTAGAAATAAATTTTTTTTAGGAAAGAGGCGCGTCATCGTATATTGAAAATGAAGATTTTACGATGCGCCCTGACTCTCCTGCTACCATTATGGATAGACAAAAACAGCTAGAAATTCAACGAGAGTCTGATCGAGAAAAACAGCGTCAAATAGATGAGAGAGACTTCCAACGGCAGGAAATTAGAAATAAAGAAGTACAAAGAGAAGGAGCAAGAGAAAAACAACGACACGAGATAAGTGGAGAAGGCCGACAATCTGGAGTTGGTTTAATAATTGGAAATCAATTAGCAAATCCTGATCCAGTAAGTTATGCGATAAATATCGTATGAATTTTATCGCTGCACAATTTTTTCTTTTTTACTCTACTTCATTAAAGTATTGTTGTAGAATTCTCTTGATGAAATGGAACGAAAGAAAGAACGTATAATGCTTTTATCGCTGCAAAGAAGACAGCAACAAGAAGAGATGAAAGAAAGAAAAGAGGCAGAGGCACAAGCTCGTCGAGAACAAGAAAAATTAAAAGCAGAAGAAAGAGCTCGTAAAAAAGAAGAGGAAAGGCAACGAAGAGCAGCTATTTTAGAACAACATAAAGTAAAGAAAGCGATAGAAGAGGCAGAAAGAGAAGTGAGTGCTTTTTGTAAATGTTTTATTACAGAATCTCAACTATCGGAATTAATTGCGAGACAAATGTTTGGATAATAGAATTTTCAGATAATAGAACGCTTTCTCTATATTGAATTTGATATATTTTAGACATAAAATATTGAAGATCCCATAATTTTTTAGCCGCTTATTTCTACGTAAGTAATTGCTTGAAGTTATTTTTCTGTGTTTCTCATCGTGAGATTTCTTTTTTGAGAGCTGCAAATGCTTCAGAATAAAAAGACACATCTTTGTTGTCGTCGTTGTCATTATATAGATAATTTTCAATTGATTATTCTTTATTTTGTATACCATTGATTCTAATGGCCTATTTTTGGATTACATTTGTTGCACAGTATTTTTCAACTTCTTAATTAATAACTCTATCCGTTCTATACTAATAACACTAAATTATTACGAAGAAATCTTGTTTTAATCAAGTAAATTTGATTTAAGTAAATATATACTATGAATTATATACATAAATGTTCGGATACTAGAATATTCCGATGATAGAATGTAGGTGTGCCAATAATCGAAGTTCTATTGTATTAACAATATTTTAATTGAATTAATCGCCAAAAATTATTATTATTATTTAGGGTAAGGTTATCGATAAAGAACTTCTCAATGCAATAAAACCAACAAAATTGCGTAACAAGACTGCAACTCGACCACGACCCAAAACAATTCACGTGGATGCTGGTACGGAGCTGGATTCTGGAGCTCTTACGCCAAGTCGCGGGAAGAAGGGTTCTTCTTCTAATCTAAGTACAGGTATGACAGTACTGTTAATGTGATGTGGTAATGATACAATTATTCATTGCAATGATCAGTGTTTCTTGGAGAGAAAATTAAATAGTTATATATTATACCGAGTTAAAACGATGGTCATTTATCATCTCTAATATATTTTGATGTATTGTACATATTACGTATGAAATCATCTCCAAGATAACAATTACCACTGCTATTGTAACAAGTATATTCCTTTATTATAATCTTCTAATAGTGACAGTTTCTCAGTGTTGTAATGTAATTGCATTTATTTTCTGCATGGCGAAAATTTAAGTCAGAAAAGTTTAATTTTTTCTTTAGTAACGCCATCTTTTCCATACTGATTTTTTTGTTGTTATTGTTCTCTTTTATTTTATAAGATCTCACTCCGTCACAATTCCATAAGCTCTAAATTTTCTCGGCTATACTAGTTTATCAGTTAATCATTCAAGACGAAAGCATTATACAGTAAACTGATCTCATACATTTCTTAGACTCCTGTTTGAAAAAACTAGAATAGTAAAGAAAATTCGAGCTGATTGTTTTGCACTAACACACTTACTGTAGCGTCGCTGACTTCCCCGACGATGAGGCGAGACTACTACCGAGGCTCGCAGGACAGTCTTACTGCTGCTCATTTTGATGAACGACGTTCCGGCCCTCTTTATCGGGGCGGCAGTCTCAGGGGTATGCACAACACACAATCTCTGACTCTCATATATATATATATATATATATCAGAACATCATATATATGTATTTGTTAGTTTTGCATACGAAAAGCTAAACAAATACTAAATTATTACAATATTAAATGTCTTTTATTATTAACATGCTGATTGGAGTGTTTTGCTTATACTTGCTGCTTCTAATACTTAATGGTAAAATTTATAGAAATGTTTCTAAATTAATCGGTTATAACATACATACACTTGCCTCGTATATAACACGAGAAACGTGCAATATATTATACCAAATGTCTACTGTATAAACCAGATTGAGAAATACTTGACGATACATTATACTTGATATTTTTTTTTAAATTATTCGTTTTTAACGTGTGAATGATATATATTATAGCACTTTTCTTTTCATATAATTTTGCATGTTTTAAATTTATTTGAAATATTTGTTTATTAGTGTAAATGTTGTAGTAAAATTCATTAAAACATATGTAGTATCTAGTATCGTCCTGGAGAGGAATTAACTGATTGTAATAGAGGTACCCTATTTTAGTATCTTCCGTAGATTCACCTGATGACGGTAGAGGTTCCTCCCCTTGTCGAAGTATGAATCAACTTGGTCGGCGTGGTTCCTACAAAACATCTAGAGGTGGGTTAAATATTATTTATACAAAGAATGCCTTAAATCATGTTCCTTTAAACGTTTGGCTTGATGAAAGTAGATTCGTTGCAGGATGTATCACTGGTATGGGCAGCTACGTATGAATCTTACATGTTGAATATTTCATTAGCGTTTGATTATTCCCCAAATTATCTAAGTAAGGTTACTTAAGGGTATGACTTTATTTTTAAGTAGCGCCTTATAGTAGATATCTTTCAGTTGGAACGCAACGTTGTTCTGCACCAACCTGCACTGGCTACCTTGAGTTTTTGATGTTCCTAGTGGACATGGCTCGTAGTTAGACTCTGCCCCTGATGCAACGTACGATTGAAGCATCCCCTACTATTAATCTTTGATCGTACATAGCGTTTGGAATGTAACAAGGTAAACATTGCATTATTGCAGATGTGCAGGAGCCTCAGCAACAGGTTAGAGGCAGGCCTAAATACCCGAGTTACCAAAACTTTAAGGGGAGAAAGTCTAATTCCTTGATGAATTTGTGTGGTAAGAAGCACCAGTGACTTGGAATACGTTTAATCCCCTTTTATCGTGCAACAGTATATATTTTACGTGTCCCGTACACTGTTCCAATTTTTTGTAGGCTATAAAGCATACACGTAGTCGCATGGTGGCAGATTGGAGCACAGGTGGCAGTGATATATGTACACGCATACACCAACAGCACATTGTTTGTATGTGTTAAAAATTCTATCTGCTAAATTTATATTTGGCATTACTTGAGAAACAAATGACACATGAATCTTTTTTAATCTCTTTTTTTAATTGTTCTTTATTTCTTATCTCTCTAGAGAAATATTTCTCTATAAGCAGATAGAATTTTGATTCTCATTCATAGGATAACTCATTTGCTGCAGTAGATAAAATTAAGTTGACGCTTGTTGGGCTTGTTCTTGTACAGCACTGGTTATGGATACCGATATTTTCAATGTTTTTCAGATTATATTGTTGGTGGTTCCAGATTCCACTTAACAACCTTTCATTCTGACTCACATTTAGGTCCTGTATCATATGGTTATCCTATCACTTATGTTAAATGTGTGTATATTTGTTTGTTATTCCTCTCTATTTTTATTTCCAGGTATTATGGTAATACAGCATAGTAAATTCATCTTAGCGATGAGCATCATATTTTTTAATAGAACTCATAAGTGCTGCATGAGTTAATACATTTACTAATGCGTTTAGTGGGTTATACTATCGTTAGATGAATTTGTTATGCTTCATTTGTCGGCCTAAAATCGTAAAATTACTACTAGCAATCATATAAATATTTCATTACAAGTGAATTTGTCCACTGTTTTTTGTCGCGTATTACAAACTATTAGATAAAATAGTACCTTAGACAAATTGTCAAAATCATCATTTTTATCGAAATTCCTGATAAATAGTTCCTTAGATTATTTTAGAATCATGAAAACTTTTTTACGTGAACAAATTATACATATAGATACACAGAATTAAAAAAGTTTCTTGATGTGATACATACAATATATCAATACTTCTTAAAGTTTCTATATTGGACGCAAGCTATGAAGATGGATATTCTTAATGGTCCCTTCGTAAGTCTAACAAGTGACTAATATCTCACGGTTTATATCAGGAACTAACCATATAGTAATTAATAAAATTAACTTCGTTCAAATTCCTCTTGCTTGGATGGGTACATACGTTTTATATATTGGGCTGACTGTTGAAAAGCCGTATCTTTTGACCTTAATTTCATGGACGGACACATTCGTTCGAGTCCTTTTTTTTTTTAAATTTCTATCTTCATATACCGAGCTTGCGTTCGCAGGTTCGAGTAGTGATCAAGACGGTATGATGTGTCGATACACAGATACGGACAGCGGGCTGGGCAGAGCTACACCTCCAAGGAGGGCACCAAGTCCGGGTATGGGAAGCATGAGGCATCTTCCGTCGCCGTCTGGGCCTGGTTCCTTACCTCCCGGTTTGATGACCAAGAGACGAGTGTTCGATGATGGCAGCAGCGATATCAGTAGTACACCAAGTTCAATGATGGATTATAATGGTGAGGAAATTGAGTTACACAATTTCATTTATTTGTTCATTGTTCAGGTATTAATGCAAGATAAGTTAAAATTTTGTGAGAAAATGGCATATTAGAAAATATAATATAATTCCATTAATCGATTCTATGTAAACTATCTTAAAATTAAATTAGCATGCAAGTTACATTGTATATTGCATGAAATTGATGAATTCAGTTGTTTATTACTTAGGTAATGCAAAATTTTTTAATAACTTACGTTTAACGTACTGATAAAGAAATTAAAATTTACTGTTATCTTATAAAGAAATGATTTTTTTCAAATTAGTAGCTGTGTCAGCTCCACGTGAAAATTTTAGAAATTAACTTATTTACCAAGCAATTACTTTGATGAAGTACGTTGCATGAATTTTAGATTACTTTTTTTTTTGTTAATAGGTCCAAGATTGTATAAACAACCAACTACGAAGTCAAATCGTGGTATTATGCTAAATGCTGTAGAATATTGTGTATTTCCTGGTACGGTAAATAAAGAAGCGAAGAGAAGAGTTCTGGATGAAATTGCAAGATCGGAAAGCAAACATTTTCTTATTTTATTTCGAGATGCTGGTTGCCAATTTCGAGCTCTTTACTCATATTGCCCAGATAGAGAAGAAGTTTCAAAGTTATATGGTACTGGACCGAAACAAGTCATTGATAAAATGTTCGACAAATTTTTCAAGTAAGTTTATCATCACAGATTTGTTCTTATTATTGATGTATTTCTATGATTTCATTTTGTATGTAAAATCATATCATTAATCAAAAATATGTATAACAAGAAAATTATCTTTTCTAATGTGAGTTTTTAAATATAAATTATTTTAAGGCGTTTTAATAAATAATAGAGTCTAGAATTATAATCTAGAATTATAGTTTTTGACTGATAATGATTTTATGACAATTCAATATTAATTTATTTTATAGCGTATAAATTTGATAATTTATTTGTATTCATAGTTTGATATTTACGTATTTAACATAGATTTTTATATGAGTAATTATATTAATAAGATAAGAAAATAATTTTAAATTATATATGGCTGCAAATATTGATAAGAATTTGAAAAAGAATAATACAGTTTGAAACATATTCTATATATAATAATAAACACACCAATGTCAATAAGTCCTTAATCCATGAAATTTTTTTTTATTATTATGAGTTAAAAAATTTATAAAAGTTATACATACGTTCCAAATAAATATATATAACAGCAATCGACAAATTACATTTTAGCTAGATGCAAAAAATATTCTATATGTTTTACTATATTTTGACACAGAATCATTCTATTCTCATTTATACTATACTTGCATATATACTTATTTTAAACTGATATTGTAGATTATGCAATTTTAATTTTCTTCTTTGTTTCTAGATACAATTCAGGAGCAAAATGCTTTTCTCAAGTACACACAAAGCATCTGACTGTGACCATAGATGCCTTTACGATACACAACAGCCTTTGGCAAGGTAAAAAGGTGAATTTACCGAACAAGAAAGACATGCCTCTCGTCATATAGTTTTACACAAGTGTCACATTTTATGCTACTATACCCTCTGTTGTTCATAGTTACTATTTTAATACAGGCCCATATTAAATTAATGCAAACGTTGCGTTTTTAGTCAATTTTATAAAAACAAGTGATTGATGCTGACTCATAGATACGGATGTGCAATCATTTTCAACGTTTTTTACGATTGCATATCACCATTGAACGGCGTAATGTTACCACGTATGTTTCCTTTTTTCTTTTTTGTAATTTGTTGTATCTCTTCTTTTTGTATTTTTCTTCCGTTTTGTTTTGTTTTTAAGATAATGTTGGCATCAATTACTATGTTGTAAGTTTATCAATATCTAATTAATAGGAATGGTTTGTTGTCAATATCTAATATCTTTGCGGACTAATTTTCGACGTGTAACGCCTTGTAATCATATAAGCTGCTATGTTGTAAATGAAAGTCATGACTGATTGTAAAAGGTAAATTAATTTTTCTTATAAAATCATTTCTTTTTTTGCTAAGAGAGAGGCAGGGCTTTCATAAATATCACAAAAATGAACGTTTCATCTTTATATTTCATAAAGTAATTCGCACATATTTCCCCGTTACGCGTAAATTAAAACTACTCTTATTATTATTATAATTATTATTATATTATTATTATTGTAGTATCATTAACTTCTATGGATTATTAAATGCGAATAGAGGATCATTAATTTGAATATGTTTTTTTTACAGAATCTATAAAATGATTCGTATTCTCTAGTGTGATTTTTGTATTTGATTAATTTCTATTGAACAAAACCAAAAGAAAATATTAAAGAAAAGAATCACAAAATGCTTTTGTTTTGCGTGAGAATTTCATTTATAGAATAGTCGATATTTTTATGAAGTGATTTTGAAGTTCAGCATTGTTTCGTATGATCCGTTATAATTGTCTTAAAATTCTTTTGTTCATCGTGTACATCATTGTCAAAAGCGAATTGATGATTCTTCGTTGACCATGAGATTTTGCAGCTGTTGACGGTTGCAGCAGCGTACGTAGATAATGTAATTCGTTCGTTGAAAAGTGTTGAAAAAAAAACCAGCTCACGGACAAACGAAAAAAGTAAAAAATAATAATAATGTGGATTTGTAAATATATAAGTTGGTTCTGATTAGTGAAAGAAAATACCAAATCAGCCTTAAGATCGATCTGGATGTAATTGATGTTGTGCGAGGATGTTTTTCCTTTACAGTGTAGGTACCATCGAATATAATTTATATAATGCCTCGTTGATTTGAATATCTTGAAGCGAGTCTTGTGAAGTGTGTATCGGTATAAGATTAGAAACTTTTAAGAATTTGAGAAGGGAGAGAGAATGAGACCGTACCAAACAGTACCAAAAGTAAAAGTTTGTTTCCTGAGTGAACAGTATGATTTTGGTAACTGATATGAAGTGTCTGGACATTAAAAATGACCACGAATTGGTAAAATTTTTGATTGAATTGCTATTTTTCTTTCCTGCGCGCAATACATACTTATTCTAATATATCGAACAATTTAAAATCTTGTAATTATTTCGAACATTGTAAGAGGAAAGCAGAAAATGATTTGGAACGTGGAAGTACTAAAACAACAAAAGTTCTGTGTTTGAAGTTGCTTTTACTTTAGTTGAATAACTTATTTGAATGTATTCTAGGCCTAATTCATTCTAATCCAATAGTCTATAGTCTGCATTCCTCGTAACCAAGAGACCCTGGAAAGAGTGTTAACTTATTTATAAATGTCTTAGTATATTGTTATAAATTTTAACGAAGCGGACTAATGTTTAACCCGTTTATAAGTGGAATATTTAATTTTTGAATTTTGTAAACAGTATATGGATCCTTTTTCTTCGGATGATAATCGTTCTCTTTCTTTTTTTTTTATTTTTCTTTCTTTTTTATGTATGGTTCTCATTTCCTACTGGAATACGTCAGTCTGATTTCAAACGAAACGAAATATGCGGTTCTTGTATTGTACATGAAAGATAATTAGCATAATAATGTAATAATGAAAGAACTATTTATTGTGCCATAAATTATAACTATCCGCCATTCGTGTGGGACTGGCACTGACGATTCCATCTTGACGATTTAATTTTCTGAACGCATATACAATCTTTTTTTCGTAAATACGCCAGTAGGACGAGCGAATAGAAACTAGATAGAAGTAAAATATAATTTTTGTACAGAAATATGGAGGGTCTATCTGTTATGAATTTTATTCTCGAATTTTCTTTTATTTAAGTTTAGCACATATGTTGTTTACAAATTTTCTTGTTTGTCAAGTATATGTAAAATGTATTTTTTAACTCGATGGACATGTGCATAGGAAGCATTTAAAGCGATAACATTACGAGAAGAAAGAACAAAAAAAAAAAAGGGAAAAAAATGTGTAGGTTGACTGTAACAATAGACTCTCCTATATTCTGCAGTGGCATAGCAGAACATGACCGTATTGATTATTCTTAAGTAATTATGCAACATATCGAATTTCATGTTCTTCACGATTATAATCGCGAAAAATATATTTTTAATTCGCAATGATACAATACTTGGTTCAATTGTCCTGAGATTATTTTATTCATCCTCATGTCCGAGGTGAATGACACGTAATGGAAGGACTTGGAAAAAAAATTTCACGTTAAATGAGAAAAAATCCGTCGATCGTAGTTATCCAGAGGAGTTCATTATATTCTATTCTCATCTATTGTAAAAATCTATTGCGTGTATTGCCGTAAAAAATGATGAATAGTGAAATTTTTGTGAGCTTCAGACTCCGAAAATAGTCCGACCTGACAATATTGAATGCGAAAATAGGTAAACGCCGTAAGATGAATTATAAAGTTTGAAGGCATAAGCCACGTTAAAAAGTTTACGATAACAATGTGAACGAACAGTGAATGAAGATTTACGAATAACAATATAATAGTCACTAATCTTAAGAATTAACGGAAAAACATCGGTTTGTGAAAAAGAGATTGAAAATAGTAAAAAAAAAAAAAAAAACTACAAATAGAGAACGTTCGAAAAAAGGATGTGTAACTGCAGAAAGGAAGGGTGATTGCTTGTGCTTGATATTTATATTTTTCGAAGCAGAGAAATATTATTAGTGAGCTGTTGGTAACTGACGCGTGATAAACAATGAAACGAAAAAACACAGAGATGGGAAAAATGGAATATAAATAATCGCGCTTACTAATAATAAACGATTATCTTTATGTAATAATCCTTCATTTTTATTGTCATAAATGGAAGAAACTGAAAACTTTGTCAAATCATACTTGTTCAATTTATCCATGTCTGTAAATATTATGTTTTTTTATATGCATAAATGAAACTACTACTCAATGATATATATTTATTGAGTACGTCAAGTCAAAATTTGGGTCATATTTTACTGTTAGCACCTTACAGCGAATGTCATCAATAAAATTTAATAACCCACTTTGCAATAGACTTTTATTCTTCTGTGAATGATATATATATATATATATAAATGGAACTAAGTGTGTCTTCTTTATCTTAATTGATTGTGTAATGTAAATGTATATATAACCTTTGGAGTACAGAAGAGGATGAATTAGATGACCATACTTTCTCATTGTTATATATTTTATACACAATAGCGAAGGCGTCATTGTTAATTTTTCTGCATATGTATAATATATTACAATTCAACGAATAAGAAAAATACTAGACATAAATATTAAAATATTCTTGTGAAAAACATTTCTCCCTATATATATATACCATATTAATTCATTAAGGACACTTTATTACAGGGCGCTAAATATGTTGTTTTTCTCATTTTTAATCATTTTAAATATTCGATACGGTATTACCGCTATAATAGTACAAAATAATTTCATTTTTTCGTTCTTGTTCTTTGCTTTTTAAAAAATATACGGTCTCGATCGAGAGCCATTTCATACATTATATCGTATTCTCAATCGAAATCGCTATGTACTCTTATATTAACGATAATAAATAGCTTTAAATACTGATGTACAATTGTTTTGTGACTTACAAATGAATTACAATTAAACTATATGGCAGTGATCTTACTACTTACATATATGTTGTGACATTTTGTGTATCAAATTTATTATACAATTTGACGCTAATTCGTGCCATAATTTGTTAATGCTAATTAAAAATCGTTTCTCAAACTATGTTTTCCAAAATTATTGTTGATATTGATTCTAAAAAACATTTTAATGACGGACAATCGTTTGAATTTTATACTACATAATATATTGATATTCTGATAGTTTAATGTTAAATTATAAATTGAAATTTTTAGAATTCACTTAATTTTAATTTATTTTGTAAAATATAATTTTTTCATTAATTTAATTTTTCATAATCTTATTTATTCAATTTAAATTTTCATAGATTGTTGTATTCGTTAATAGAACACGTGTAGAAATATGAAGATATTTTTCAATTGTATTTTCAAAATGTTATAAATTTTATTATTAAAATATTTATTAGAATAGCAATATAAGTGTAATGAATTGTTTCTATCTTACATTATTATTTTATAATAGTTATATTGTAATATTTTGAAATATTTTATAAATATACTGTTGGTGTTGAATAAGTAATTTAAAAAATTTTAAAATAACGTTAATCAATGTATTCCAATTAAGTTATGTATAAATTTATCCATAAATTTTCGAAGCGGACTTAAATAATAAGTGCTTCAACATCAATTTGTTAAAACAGTACATAATGCATATAAATTAGATTAAATTTTTTGGTACATGTGAGGGAAGTGCTTTTTTCTTCTTCTTTCGTTTGTAAATAAAAATTTATTTAAAAATATTTTGGCTGAATTAAATGTAAAATTTGTTATGTGTACAAATTATAAATATTAGCTTTTTCTTTTTTGATTATGTTCATCGTGTATCTTTTTTTCTAAACATATTTTTTATATAAATATGAGCTTATCATCAGGAAGAGATACATATATATAAATACATAAAGTAGTTCGATTGATATTTATAAGTATTTGTTATCGAAATACTTTAAAAGAGTTAAAACAAGTTTGAGAAACATCAATGTAAACTTTATGCGTTTGAATGCTAGCATCTCTTGGCTTCATTTATCTTATGTCTTAATGATTAAAGAATTTTCGATCATGATATGGCACTTGATCCCAGTGTGAAATTGCATTGAATACAGTTCACAGAAACCTTTCGAGGATTGTGCATTCTTTAAACAGTCTTTGGAACTAAACTGAATGACTCGGAGGAGTTCACACATTGTACTGATTATCATTGTACTGGGCAGGAGCTCAAGTGAATATTATGCAATTCGTCCATGTCTGTCCAATCTCGTCTTTCTCCCCCTATCATTACATTTCTTATACATCCATTGAAATGATCTCTTGTTAATAATGTTCCTTTTGGAGCAGAAGCTGCAAAATCATTATTAATTTACACTTAAAAATATAATAGTAAATTATTTCCACTCTATTTTTATTTATTTTATAATAATTTTAAAATATATTAATTTTAATAACAATTTAAATAATTTAGTTCTTCATTAATATTGAAGATATTATAATTTATTTATTATAATGGTTTTGCTATAATTTTGAATGGAACGCAATTAAATAAAAGATTTACCTGGTAAGCCACCAATGTATAGAGGAACAGAGACTGAAGAATCCATTATATGATAATTAACATTAGCTGGAAGGCCATACTTCTGATCCATCTCATCGACTTTTAGTGCCAATTCTTCGTCATTAAAAACTGCTTGTATTCTATGCCATCGATTGTCACAGATCGTGTATGGACTAGTGAAACGTTGTTCTACATATAACGGATTGTTATCTCCTAAATCGCCAGACATTATCACTTTGCCATTATTCAATTCCAATGATACTGAAGGCGAATTGCCAGGTGCTGTTATAGAAAGTAAAACACCCGATAATTCTGATGTTCTAAATTCTAACTGAAGTTCTAACACGGCACCTAATTCAAAGTTTTTCTCTGTAAAGTAGAATTTCGTTTATTAATATGATAAAGTTTTATTTTATTTTTGTATGATATTTATTTAAATATTGATATTTCTATATTAATATTTAATATATTATTTATATATGTATATATAAGGTAATAGAAATAAAAAATTAATAATAGATATAATAACGATTATTGAATTATTCAATTTCATTCAATACTTCCGTTTAGCATTTACAAATCAGTGTAGTTTAAATAATTTAAATAAATAATTATTTTATTCAAATAAAAATAAAATAATTAAATAATAAAAGAGTAATTTAAAATAATTAATAATGTTTAAATTAGATAAAGAATATTATAATTAAGATAGCTTACTATATATAGCATATGCTTCATCCTGGAAATAAGCTCCACTTTCAACATTTGGGAAACATTGTCCTACTTGATAAGCTCTACTTGTAGAACCAACCATATCATACACATTTCCATTGATCCTCAATCCTCTAATACATCCTTTTAAGGTCTCGAGTTTAACTACCACTTGTTCAGGTATTGGTGTTCCACTTTCAGGCAAGCCTCCAATATACATCATGGAGGCCAGTCCAATTTTTCTTGGCACTTTAATCGTACGTGGTGTTTGGGAATCAACGAGCAATGTCAACTTTCGTTCGTCATGGCTGATAACTACATGATGCCAGTTACCATCATTAAACGGTGTTTTAAACAATATCTCTTTCTTCTGCTTATTTTTCACTAAGAGTAAAAGCTGTCCATCTCGTATCACGACCATGAGATAGTGCTTTGGTCTATGGCCCTATAAAGTAAAAGATACATTAGTTAAAAATATTTTACATGAACAAAATTATAATACAGATTAAGATTTTGCCTTTGATCTCTAATTACTTATACGAATTTTAGAACTTAAATTTTTACATACTGGAGTAATAAACAGCAGTCCGTTTGGATAATACGTCCTGAAATCAAACTCTATTGCATATTTCTTCTCCCAAAATTTTTTAAAATTTAAATAAAGCTGCGTGTGGCTGTTTGGTTTGTCTCCAAATTTGAGAGCACCAGCTTCCAAAGAGTAATACGGCACTTTTTGACATCCTTCTGGTTGAGTAGACATTCCTCTCGATAGCGATGCTGATGGTGTATAAGTAGGAGGATCTTTTCCCATACTCGGCCCAGGCCGGCCAATTAATGCATGCTCGAAACTGACAGCTTCGTCAAACTGAACAATTCTATAAAAAGAAATAATTAAATGAATATTCTTTATTCAGTTTATTGAATATAATAAAATTTTTGAGCTATAGTTTTTCAATAGATTTTTTAAATAGATATTTTGGAAATATATTGTAAAATTTTATTTAATTATTTAATTTACTAATTATTTAACTTACTCGTCATTAAATATCGCGTCTTTAATGGCCCCATACAAAGGTGTGATGGTAGAAATCATATTGGTATTGTTAATAAGTATTGGTAAACCTCCGAAAAATAATCCTCCGCTTTCTTCAGGGGCTCTAATAGCAGCACTAGTGGGTAATTTACCAGCCTTTTGATAAGCATCATCTATTCGCAATTCTACATCTTTTCGTCTTTTAATTACTGTTACTGAGTGATATCTTCCATCATTAAAAGTGTCATTTGACTGTAAAACAAGTTCTCCTCTCCCAGCATTTAAACGAACTTGCACTTGTCCATTGATAATGCACACGGAATAGTAACTTTTCTTCTGAAAAAATTATAAATGAAATTGTAAGTTAAAAACATGGATCGTTATTGTAACATTTATTTGAGTAAATTTTGATAACTTTTTTTTTTTGAAAATTAGTATGTAAAATATACTATTGAAATATGAAAGACTTAAAATAAAATTTGCTATGGAATATCAGTGAAAATAACATATTATCAGTGGAATTACATATTATCATTTTTGGTTCAAAATGCTTCAAATAATTATCAAAAAGAAGAAATAGGATTTAGAAAATTTAATGAAAACAAATATTAAGTAATTTAAAATTATTAAAAAATTGTGAGTACAGTTGTAATATATAGCTTGCATTATATTTTTTTATTTAATTTCAATGTAAAAGGATAACGATACTATTATACTTACAATCGAGTCATCATTCACATGTCGTATAAAAGGCATACGTTCTTCTTGTCCTTCGAATGTAGAAAGAAGAAGTACAGCCTCCTTTTGCATTGTTCTAAAAGAAAAACTCACTGTGGAGTTTATTTTACGCAATGTATATGCTGCATGTTGTAAATAACCATCTCCGTAAAATCCTACTATCCTTAACGGCTGTAAAAATAAAAATTTATTATCATTATTTTTTATGAAATTTACTCTTTATTCGTGTACAAAATTTTCTAAAAATAAATTGTTTTTTCAACATTAAAACGAGAAATAAAATTTGATATACTTTTATAGAAATTATTTCAAGTTTCTTAACTATTCAAATAGCATTTTAATTAAATATCATAATAAAAAATATGTACATCATATTTATTACTTATTTTAAAAATAGAACAAGAATTTATTTATTTTTAATATCTAAATAGAAATTTCATAATTATTTTTTCACAATTAATTTATTTACCTTATTAATTTAAAATTTACCTAATTAATATCTACTACTAATTAATATCTAGGTAGAAATTTCATAATTATATTTTCACAATTAATTTATTTACCTTATTTGCACAAGTCGGCTCGACACCATAATACTGTTCAGCCATTGGATCATAGCCTACTTCAACAACAATATTAGACATACAGCCAAGAAATGAAACCTGCGATGGTAACATTAACTTTTCTGCGCGAAAACTTGGTGGAATACCACCGATGTAATATTTAGCCTGAACGAAGTCAGGAATGTCTTCTTTTTTGGGTTGAGGTGCAGGTGCACCAATTCTTTTATCGCTTTCTCCTTCTACACTTAAACTACATTTTTCAATGTTTTTACGTAAGTGATAATGTCTAAATGCATCCACCTTTGTCCAGTTTCCAGTATTGTATTTAAAGTTTGAAGACATTTCCATACTAACATTACCGCCGTAACCAATGTGCAGAATCACTTTTCCTTCGCGCAAGAATATCATAATGTGTTGGTTCTGTGAATAAAAATTTAGATATAATTATATTTTATTAAAGCTTATTTTATACCAGAAAGTTTATTTTCTTTAAATCAGAATGATTAATAATTATCTGCAATACTTCTTGTTATATTGGCATTAGATGTTTATACATTAACTTTATATATTTATGTATATCATTAACTAGCTACCAATATAACAATGGCCGGATCATTTTATGTATGCTATTATTTTGTTCTTATGATTTGAAGCGGAATATTATATATGTAAGATTATCAGCACAAGATGTTCTATGTAATATGTACAAGCAAATACATAAATTTAAAAATAGTTGTGTAATGAGATCAAGGATTGAAAGAAACTAAATTAAATGTATTGTCGAACTAATATTGAAAAATAATGTTGCAAAGAACTCTGTTGTTATCCTAATAAATTTTATAGTTATATTGCGCATAATTATTCAACCATTAAATTTGTTTTATATATTTATTTGTTTTATATTAATAGATAAGAATAAAAATTTAATATACTAATAGATCTAAGAATAAACAAGTATAATAGTCAAATTCAATGACGAATTACCAAATATGACGTATTTAAAATAAAATAGAATATATTTTTAATTTCAATTTTGTAAATTTTCAATTAAGTAATAATTAACAAAAAAATTAATTACTTTCCTTTTACTTTCTAAGATATAAATAATAAACTATTTTTTAAAAAAATAAAAATAAATAATATGTAAATATTATGTACATTATCTGGATTAATTGCCAAAAATAGCAAGGCATTCTCGTCGAATGTTCGGAAGCTAATTGATATTCCAAATGAATATTTATTATATGGTCCTGAAGAAACCCTATTTCTGACCGCATATCCTTCTCCATTGAAACTGTAAGCTATATCATCCCTGGCATCTTCGACTCTATAACATTAAAATAAAATATGAAAAATAAATAGTAATTTTTGTATATCAAAAAATGAAACAAATTTATAGCTTTTTATTAATTACCCTTCCACACATGCTTCACATGCCATATCCGGTGCAGTTGTAATGAAATTCCAAAGACCTATAGGTTTTCCATCCAGAATAACTTGATGTACACATGCTGGAAGTCCATTAGATGCAACAAGCTCTGTTCTTTTACGCTCTGTTCTAGGAATTTTTCCTATCCAAACACGATCTGAAGTAGTAATGTCAAAGCGGGCGTACTCAGAATCTGTCGAATTCCTTACAGAAGGATGTTCTCTCATTATCAACGCTTGTTTTCGTACATATAGTTTGCCTAAATGACGTACCCTGAAAATCATTTTCAATGTTTCAATTTTTTACATATAAAATAGATAATGGATAATAATCAGTTGATGAAAGTTGTATAGATATAATAAAATTCTATTTATATAAATTGTCATGGGATAAATAATTTATGTAATTATAAATTCATTTAATAATTCTTCATTCTATTAGTGATATTTTCTTCATACAATAAAAGTAGTAAGTGGATTCAATCAGCAAAAATTCATTTGATCGGGCATTGAGTAAAAATTTTTTTTGAGTTTAAATAAATGAAATCCTTATAAATTTTACTGTATTGCCGAGCAGAGATATTATTTATTATATAAAATAGATTTAAAAAGTATTATGTCCAAGTGTTAGCAATGAAATGTGCCAATTCGTTTGACTTTGAAATTCTATTGAAATGTTTTTTTCAGACAGAACGTCTGAGAACAATTTTATAATAGCAATCTTATTTTATTTTTTAAAGTATTTAAAGGAATTAATTGTAGAACTTTCTAATATAATTCTTTATACAAAATACTTATATTCAAAATTTACACTACCAGAATGGTCAAAATAATCAATTTGTAATTTTTTATACAGTTTATAAATTCATATTGATACATTTCCTGGAGATCTCTTCAAAGATATAAATAAAAAATTTCTTTAATAATAAATGATTATTCTAATTATAAGTTCGGATATAAGTTCTGACATAGTTTCACTTTAGGTAATGATAGTTCTAGTATTAATATATCAATAGTGTATTAGTATTTCAAATAATATACCTTTCCGCTTCTATACGATACCAGATTGTATCATCTTGAAGATCGCCACTTTGTAATGTTTCAGGGTGTGTAAGAATTCCTGTTCCTCCTCCAACATTCCATACAAATCTCACTCTCCTGTCAACGATCTCTAAAGCAAGGAAATCATCCTGCAAGTGAAACAAAAATGTAACATAACATATTTCTCATTTCGTATTTTAAAATACTGTATTCAACTCGAGTGACATATTTACATTTATGCTACTTGGCAAATAAAATAGAGGGCCTTCTTTCTTCCCTTTTGGAAGTGCAAAAGTCATTACAATTGTGTTTGTTGATGTTGGTTGTAATGTGGATGGTCTGTAGGATCGACTGCATTCTTTCCCTTCTGCTGATCTCAAAGAAACACGAATCTAAAAAAATATTTCATTTAAATATTTATTCAACAAATGTATCAACAAAATTAAAATATTCCAAAAAATATATCATAATTACTCCATCAGCGGTATTTCTAGCTTCAGCAATCTTGTCTTTGAGATTTTGTAATTTTGTAGCTAATGTATTATTCCATTTGTCAAATTCCATTTTCCTTTTTATGGCGGCATTTGATAAACTTATTAATTTTGCATCTGCTTTTTTCATATTACTAAGTGCTTCTGTCACTGCAAAATTTTTTTTTAATGAATGTATAATGAGGAATACACAGGTAGCATGAAAAAAATGTATAATACACTTTACATTTTTCACTGGCTAAACTAATTTCTGAATCGCCTTCTCGTTTCAAATCGTACAATTTCGGTTTCAATCTGTTAGTAATCCCTTCTTTGTAATCTCCAATAAGTTTCTGCGAGTTTTTAATACTTTCTAATATCTTTTCGTTCTCATTTAATATATTTTTAACATTTTCACGCACTATAAAACAACACATAAATATTTCAATAGGAACTAATTATTAAAATATCTTATTATAAATTTTATTAAGATTTTATTTTAAGACAAGATTAATTAAGAACTCTTAATCGCTAGACTGCAGATTTTTATGCATTTTTAAATTTTTATAAACGTAACTGAAAGGAACGAAAATAGAAATTTGTTTTATTTACTGAATTGAAACAGATACTCCACTTTAAATATTTTATATATTTTTGCATATGTATTTTCACAACTTTCAAGTTTCCATAAATATGTAAAAATCTACAGTCTATTAATTACAATTCAAAAATAAATAATTCTAAAAAATATTATAATAAAAATTTTGAAATTTTACGGTCACAATAATCAGCAGGAAACCTTAAATGTTTAACTATGTTTATTTATATTTATGTATTATATATTAATTGATACATAACAATTACAATATGATCTTACGTTTCTTACTGTCATCTTGCAATTTTTGCAATTTCACATTGACTTGATTGTCTTTCATTCCAGTACTGTTTAGAGTATTTTTCAAAATATTCACAGCTTCCTTTTGTAATTCCAATGCTTCATTCGCGCTTTGTACTAATTTTCCATGTTTATTTGCACTATTCTCCTGTCTGGAGGATGCTACTAATATTTCTTTGGCGTTGTCCAAGAGTGATTTTAATTTGGGGCCATCAGGAAATGTCTGATAATACCAATAATTATAAACATAAATGTTATTACAAATTATTAAATTATTGCGGAATTATTGCATATTATCCGAACTGAAATTTTTGATCTGGATATGTTTTTTCGTAGGTATTTTAAACTAAAGCCAAAAATGAAGGTCATGTTTCATGGAAATGAATAATTTTAAAAATTCGACCTTATGCACATTTGGCCGTTTGATTACATTTAGGAAATTTTATTATTTATTTTGACAAGGTTCAATACCAAAATCACAACCAAATTCGTATATATTAAACAAACTGTTGAAAATTAATTTAAAAATTAATCCTTTCTAACTCTATACGTAATTTTTTTGATAATTTCATACAGACAATAAAGATACTAAAATCTGTAATTTAAAAAGAGTTTTTTTAGTCGTTTTTTTCGCTCTTAATCAATAAAATAAAATTCAATAATTATTTAACATACATCAAAAATTTACTTTTCTTAATATGGTTTTTGCCTATCTGTTAAGTAGTAAAGATTTTATAAGAGAACATCAAAATTCGTGATTTTTCGTTTAAAATATGTCATTACTAATAAACATTATATTGAGCATTTATAACATAGAAAGTAAAAATTCACATACTTCGTTTCAAAATTTAATTATCTTTTCAATATTCAAAGTCATCTCAAAGTTATATATTAGACATATTTGATGTATTTATGCATGCTATACGATGGAATAGAAAAAGTAACATGCTAGCAAAAAATATTATGGATGTAAAATATCTATAAAAGTTCGATATACAATACTCCATTTCTGAAATCACTCAATCACTTTAAAACATTTCTTATATTATAAAATAAAGGAGATATTCAGGTGTTCAATCTCAGGAGAATTCATTATATGCATCACAAATTATGGAAAATTGACAATATTTTAAATTATTACAGTAAAAAAAAGCATACGACGATTCATTCGATCTCATCTTAAAACATAAAGTCTCTGTTTTAAGAGTTCTGAATTTCCTTTTTTACAAAGATGTCTATATTATTTAGCAGGTGGAAAATTAAAAACAATTTTATGTTTGAAAATTACAAAAATTCAACTTTAAATATTTTAAGAAACTTTTTCATGACTTTTTCACCATGATCTTAAAGATTTTTTCTTTCAACTTGCTGTATGATTTTTTTTTTATTTAAAGCTTAAGCTTAGACGACGAAATATTATAGGATTGAATAAATAGGATTGAATTTTTGTTATTTAATCTTAATGTACAAAATTCAATAAAATGACAAAAAAAATTGTACAGTCGTCAAGGGAAGACTTTAAGATGGATCTAGTCATAGAACAGATTTCCCAATGTTTGAATTTTTATAATTTTTGAGAATAAAAATATTCTTATTTTGAAAAAATCTCAAAGTAGGCTCTCAAAATAGAGATTTTATAGTGAAAAATAAGATCAAATGGATTGTTATCTATATGCCTTTTTTATGAAATTAAAATAGATTGAAATATCAATAATTTTCATAAGTATTATTACTGTATATGAACATATACTTATTTTTCAGTCATATACTAAATTCATGCATACTGTATGATATATGTATGTACAGGGATTCTTCTGAAAGCTCTATATTTACAAAAAAGACTTTCATTTTTGATTTCAGGAATCTTAAAATACCTTTAGAAAGTCTCATTCTAATTAAATATTTTGCCATCTGTATTTTATTCCTCACCCTTACCATGACTACAAAGTATGTATTTCCTTACCTTATTGTACGTATCTTCAGAAATATCTTTAGCTGCCATTGTTGTTATATTTGCAGTTCTTATGTTATCGATGATATTCTTGTATGCTTGACTGGCCTTCAGCGGGCTAGCTGCGATGTTCTTTGTCTCGGAAAACAGACTGCTCGGCAGAAACGCCAAGTTGCACTTTATCAAGTTATCGATCATCAATTACATAAAATAATAACGTAATACTAAATAACGATTATTAATTCGCAACTGGAACTGTCACACGATTTCACATGATTTAATTTTCTTTTGTTTTCAAACTTATATCTCAAGTATTCCAGAAAATTTTATTCAAGCTTAAAGATATTATAATAATGATTTTATAATAATTAGAATTATGTATCTTTTAAGTACACAGGACCAGTGCGAAAAAATTTTAGAAAGTTATTTTAAATAGTCAAGTATTTTAATAGATAAATATGTCTAGTATAAATTTAAAACAAATTATTTTTTTCTCTTCAATAATTTTAATATTTTTTATTAATAATTTTTAATTTTTTTACTAATAAACATATATAAATATTAAATAAAATTATTACACTACATTTTTATCTCGTTCCTTTTCTTTTAAATTTAATGTATAGCAATATTTGCTTAACTATCTAAATATTAATGTTACAATCGAATAGCATGAACTAAAAGTATAGGAATAAAAATAAATCATTTTCTCTTACCTGACATACTGATTAACGTAGTTTGATACATTCTTCACGTGTGTAATCGCAGGTATCACATAAGTGTCATTATAATCATAATTTAATCTGTATAGTAGTTCTTCCTTCATACTCAATTTATCAAACCAGTATGTTAATTTGTTTCGTAGTTCCGGAAGATCCTGTAATGTAATATATCTCTTGAAATATTTCTTGATATATCGATATCATTATTTTTAGTTGCAACCGATATTAATAACTAAGGTAACATATTTTTCTGTGTATACAAGGGCTACAAAATAAAATAAAAATATATCATAATAAGTAAGATATGCTATGAAATATAGTATAAGATATATTATGAAAAGTTCTTTATTCTATTTCAACTATTGCAATTTTATTATAATTTTATATTATAATTTAATATACATTAAAAAAAAATTTTTTAAAATTGTTGATAATTTATTACAAATCTAAGTATTCAGTAACATACTTGAACATTATTTTGAAAATCAATGATGAAACCATGTGTTTCATTTGTCAACTTTTCCCCTTCAGTAACGGATGCGTTAATTAAGTTCCATAATGTGTTAATCTCATTACAGTGATTTTTAGCTTCTAAAAATGTTTGATTGATATTGCTGTATAAACCATCGTAGGTAAAGAGCGTTTCCATTGTGTTTTCTATGATGTTTCTCATATCAGTTAGTTTTATAGAATATTCTTCAGCATCATCTTGAGCAATTGTTAATGGTTCCGTGCCATCATATAAAGAATTCAACCAATCAGTGTATTCTGCGACATCCCTGTTATTTTTTAAAATTTAACATGATTGTAATGCAGTATGATTTTATTAAAATAATAATATTTATTATGAATAGAATTAAGTTGCAGTAATTAACATAATACTTCTCGAAAAAGATTATACTAACTCGAGAAAACTTTCGATTTCCATTGTCTTCTTCGTTAAATTTACTTCTTTTAAACCGTTTAAAATCATTTTTGCCATTTTCAATGCTTTCTTGATTTCTATCCTTTTGTTATCATTTGTATATTGATCTAACAATAAGATTGTATCTACAAAAATAAAAAAATTTTGTTAAATTTAAGTTAAGATTTATATAAAATGAAAAATTTAATGAAATATTAAAAATTTAATACTTCATTTAACAGAAATACCTTCTATATATTTTCGTAGATTGTCCAATTCAATTCTTGCACTAAATATGTTATTCTCTAAATCACTGGTTTTAGACTTTAGAGTATCTCCTCGTTTGGCTTGTTCATTCGTCTGAAATATCAAAATATTCTTAATATTTATATAAAAAAATTAAAATTTTTTATTTAAGAATACATAATATTTAAGCTTTCAAAATAAATAATATTAAAAATTTCAAGAACAAGTAATACTTAGATTTCAATAAATAATATTTAAGATTTCAAGAATGTAATATAAGTAATTAGGATTAAATACATACAGTTCTAAGTAATGTTTCAAAATGTTTCATAAGACCTCTATACTCGTGCCAGGGTATATTTTTCATTTCTTGTTTTAGTTTATTCTGAAGATTTATTTCCTCTAGAAATGTTGTTACATTCGAGCTAATGTAAGATAAATCTTCCCACGGAGGAGGAATATAACCATTAGCTATATGAGTGGTGCCTTCTGCTAATTTTTGTGAAAGCGCAGCCACAGTGTCGAGCAATATACCGGTACAGTTATCGTTACATGCTAGTAAAAAATAATTTAGAAATTAACGAACATTTAAAAATTAATTTTAAGACACTACAACTTTTATTTAAACATTAATTGTTTTCTAGAATTTCTATAAATATTACTAGACAATTTTAACGCATGATATTAAGTAAATTATACAATAATTTTTAAAATTTATTTTTAGCAAGAGCAGTTTGGAATATTAAAGTTTTAATTTATAATTTTTAATTATTTATGAAACTGCATTAATGAAATAAAAGATTTTGTATAAAAATATATTTATTTTAAGCGAGTAAAATATTCTTCACTTACATGTGCAAACGTTATTTATATAAACGTGACGATACGCAGTACATTTAGAGCAATCACGACCCGTAGAACCAGCTCTACATCTGCATTGTCCTGTTTCCGTATCGCATTCATCGTTCAAACTTCCAGCAGCGTTGCAATCACATGGAATACATTTGCCACCAGGAACATGCGGAGATCCATAATATCCGGAAGAGCATCGTTCGCATTTTCTGCCAGTGTAACCTATGCACATGAAGAATGCAAAATGAATTTTTTTTTATAAATTAATCCATTAAGAACGAAAATCTATCATAACTAAACTATGAATATTAATGCATTTTTAGGAAATTTAAGATTCCACAGAAAGCATATAATGCAAAATTATACACATAAAAATTATGATTAATAATTTAATAGACGAAATCAATTTCTATTTTGATTTCATTTTTTTAATTATCTATGTTTATAAAAATGTAACATTTCATAAACATCTGTAGTCTAATCATAACGTCACGAATATCATTATATATAAATAATAATTTATAAATTAAAAAATAATTATAGTGTAGTAAGTAATATATTATTATAACTATAAATGTATTATTATAAATTTATATTATATTAAACTATAATTGTAGAATTCAAATGGAAGAAATAGCGACGAAAAAAGTGTTATTTCAAAAATAGTAGTGTAAAATTGTAAATAAAACATTGCGTTCACGCAATATTTTTCATGCTAAAAATAGATCTATTTTAATATAATATATACTTTTTATATATTTTATAGTATAGACAAAAATTATATTTTGAGTCATCGATTGACATCTTTTGATAAATGTTTATAATTAATTAATTTATAAATTAATTTATAATTAATATATCGAAAAAGATTTTTGTTATGTAACAAAGATACAAACCAGGTTTACAAACGCAAGTTGGTTCCGCATTGGCAAGAACCGTACATGTGTTTGAAAATCTTTTATCTGCTTGTGGACAGGGACAAGGTTTACAACCAAAGTCTGGGTGTCCATAGAAGCTGTCTGCGCAAACATCGCATCTTGATCCTGCGGTATTTCCTTGGCAATTCTAGAACAAGAATATTAACTTTATTATAGAAGTTTAAAGCAATATTAGTATTTATATTATTATTAACATTAGAAGAATTGGGAGTAACTTTTATTGCGGGACGATAAATTCTGTTAAGAATTTACAACTACTGAAAACTATAGACATTATAGTAATGTCACTAGTCACAAATAATTGAATTATATGATACCATCAGTCCTCATAGTATTAATGTACAACACATATTCTTTCTTGAAACTTTTTGATAAAAAGACAAAACTTTTAAAGAAACTTTTTGGTAAAAAAACAAAAAAATTATTTTGCCAACTTATAAATTTGAAATTTTCACAATTTTATAAAAAATTACATATACTTATAAAAATCTTTTTAAATTAATGTCCTTTATAAAAAAATTTTTTAATAATTATATATATAATTCCAAGAAGTAAGTAAATTGATATTAGAATACGTATCTGATCCCAAACACTTTTAACATAATACTTTTACATTCCTTTAAGTACTATTAGATTTTATTTTATCTTTGAATGTCTTTGTTATTTTAAACAATGTTTTTATAATTCCATTTAATTATTTTATTTTAAAAAATTTCTCAAATACAAGTACCTATAAGTCATAGAAAAAAGTCTAACATTCTTTGTAACATAAATTCGAACACCAGACATAATTAAATAATTTCTTCTTAAAGTGCAAAATTTCATTCAGCCATCTTACCAGGCAATGTCCTGTTTCTATATTGCAAATATCAGATCTTCCATTACATTGGCAGGGTTTTGCTTCTCCAATAAGATCAATAACAATGGTCGATGTGATAGTTGTGTTGTTATACCATCGATAGTATCCGATACTTGGATCTTGGCAGGATGTGCTGTTATATTGGAGAGGACACTGGCAAATTTCGATACCAATAGCAAGTTGAGGTATATGCGTGGGAGTTAAAACTGCAGCGTCTATAGAAGCTTCTAGTAAGCTAAAATTTAATAGATATAATAATATATTAATAATGCAATATATTTGGCATGTCTTATATAGTAAAAAATTTTATAATGGAAATTAAACAACAAAAATTAAATAACGGAAAAATACAGTGTGAAGGAATTTCATATGTGAAAGAATAGTTAGTTTTGCAAGTTTCAAAAGAAATTATTGTATAAATAATAGGTTCCAATTCTTAATTGATATTATTGGCCATTACCAACTATAATAATTTAGGATTAAATTAATTAATTTTGGAATTTTTAATTTAACCCAATTACTAATTCTATTTATTACTTCTATTAATTTTCTAAATTTGAATACTATAATATATATATATATATATATATATATATATATATATATATATATATATATATAATATAATTACTAATTTATATAGTATAATTTATATACTATAATATATATATATATATATATAATAATTATATATTATAATATAAATCACTGTAGTTCAACGATACTATATTTTGAGGGTTAAACAGAAAGATTCTTTCTACATTACGTTGTTTTCATTAGTTAAAAGTAAAATTTTTTATATTCTGAAAATTCGATTTCAAATATTTTACATTATGAAAGAAAAAATGGAAAAGCAACTTAATTAATTAAGTGATCAAATAACAAAGTTTTTGTAAAACATACGTTGTTTTTGTAAATTCTGCATTATCGGAGGCTTTTACTAAAATATATTGCAAATTTTGTAAAGCAACCATAAAAACTTCTCTCGTAACTTTGTAGTCAGGCCTGTTTTGTAATTGCCATAAAGATTCGTGAAATCTAAAATGAAAAACCAAACATTAATTTATTATTATTAGAATTTCAAGTTAAGAATTCTGATCTATTAGTTAAAATTGAATATTACCTAACTTCGTAATGATTAGTATCCGTAGATACAGGTAAAAAGTATTCTAAGACGATTTTATTATTTCCTTGCAGTTGCACGATTGGATATTGAAAATTTGATCTTAAAGGTATTCCACCCTCAGTTGAAGTTGTAAATCTTAAAAATCCTCCATAGGATACAACCTTAAATTATAAATGATGTTAATGAATTGTATTCTCTTTTAATTGTATAAGCATTCTTTTATTGTATACTGCATACCGTAAAAGTTTTAGGATATTTCAATACTTAATTTTACTTTCAATATTGTAAATAAATTTTTCAATTATGTATGTGTATTTTATAATACAATTGTTAATACTTTGTAAATTTTTGTTGTATAAAATATTATTTAATTTTTCCAATTTTGAATAAATTACACGTGTTCCAAGAATTCTGAACAGGTATGTATAATACAGTTATATATTCAAGACTTTGTCGATTCATTAACTAACGTTCCATTTTTTAAAATTACATTTTGTACATGATGTTTAATTTCTGATTAATCAAAAAATAAAAGACATTTACTTTTCACAAAACTACAAATTAATTATTTAAACAAGTAATTTGTCTGAAAATTTCACGATATAAAAATAATAAAGCAAATGTTGAAGAAAATGCATCGATAAACTAATAAAAAAATTATATATATTATATTATATAATTGATAAATATAATTGAAAAATACAAAACCTACAGCTGAGAAAATCTATGTTCTAGTGATTTGTTACACTCCTTTTGTAAACACTTCTTTATTGCATAATGTAAAGTTCAGTTCAGCAAGATTTTTCGAGATATTTGAAATTACCTTGTCACCAAGAAAAGATTCTGGTAGCATCCAATAGAGCGGGTAATTATAATACAAATGTGATGGTATCGTGACATCACCTTCAACGTCAGGAATTGTTGAAAGTCCATTGGTCATATTTAAACCGCCGTTAATAGGAGATAAAAATATTCGTGATCTAAATTTTGAAACCTGTGTAAATAAGAAAATATTGTTCAATATTTTTCTTTGATCTTACAATATTAATAATAATAGCAATAATAAATTTTTTGTAATGTAATTATATCCTATTCATAGCTTGGTAAAATTCTATATTTATTTTAGACATATTGCTAATCTACATCTTAAAGAAAGATTAATAAAATAGAACTAATTCAATTCTAGAAAATCTTTCTTTGAACATTATATATTAATATTTAGATTTAAATTATACTAGTATAATGTACAAATTTTATTCTTATAATATTGAATGATAAAGATTTATTTAAATAAAAATTCATATAGAAATTTATTATTTTGTGTGACAATACTTACTATTATATCGTTGATAGTGTCATTGATATAAAGAGTTCGTGGACGTGTTAATCTTCGTTGTCCCCAACTAAGGTCAGCTTGCTGACATGAAGTTGTTCTTCCAAAACAGAAGCATTCAGTACAACCTTTTGGATTATTCAATGCTAAACCGAACGTACCTTCTTTACATTGATTACATTGTCTTCCAACCACGTATTCCTGAATAAAAAATTTACAATATTTGAATAACTCAAAACGTTAGTAAATATGTATATATATTTTTTTTATTAAAAATTTCCATTTACAATAATCCACAACACCTAATTAGGATACTGCAAAATTGTAAGGTATTTAAACCTTACTATACTTATTTATTATAGAATAACTTTAATACTTACTTATTTACTTACTATAGAAAACTTACTAAAAAAACTTTTATATGTGTACCTACTTCTATTAACACCAAACGTACCAAGCGTGGTCAAATGATCAGTTTAAAAATTCGATTTAAAATTCTGCATTCATTGTTATTTCTTTCTTAACTTTCGTTAAAAAGAAATAAAAATACACGAATATAAAATATAAGAAGAAATAAAAATATACAAGTTAAGTAAAAAAAAAAATATATAAGAAATATAAAATTTTTTTTCTTATTAACTAAAGATTATTTTGTGATTTGTTTCCAAATTGACAATTATCTGTATTTTTTTCGTAAAAATACAAAATTTATTACATAATCAATCATTTGATTGGTTACAGTAAAAGCGGTACGTTTGATATTAAATATTTTGTCATTTTTATATACGTAGATTCACACTTGACTAATATAATCATAATAGTTAAATATCACTATAATATTAATGAAATTTTAAAATGTTTTATATAATACATATAATATATTCATGAAAAATTCTTATGGACGTTTGAAAAACTTTTATAAGAAATTATACTTAAAACGAGTAATGATTAACGATTAATGTATATACCTTGCAAGGACACTGTCCTTCATCATTGCAATCGCAAGTTCCATTGTCACATTGCAAAGTACCCGCCACGCTGCAGCTGCAAGGTCGACATCTAGGATAACCATAATAACCTTTCGCGCACTTTTCACATCTAAGTCCATCGTAGCCTATTCTGCAAGGACATTGTCCTTGATGGTCGCACTGAGGTTTCATAGAGCCAAGGGTACATGCACAAGGTTTGCAACCAACTCCTGGGACTAAGTCCCAGGAACCTGGTCTGCATCTGTCGCAATGTTCACCGAAGGTCAGGGTGGGGCACACGCAGCGACCTGTATCAGGATCACAAATGTGACCTGGCCGCACACAGGCGTCACAAACTGAAAATTAAAAATTGCAAACATTATCTCAAGATATATTAGGGTGAGTGAAAAATCGTAGTATAACCGGCCAGCGGTTAATTCTACGTAAAAAAAATAAGGAAAAAATGTGATATACAATTTTTTCATCCGAGGCTTCGTTTTCGAGAAAATCGAATTTGATGTTTATTATTTAAGTACTGTTGGACATTTTGTCCTCGTTGTTACATACATAATTATGCTCGACGAATTAAAGAAAACTGAACGGATTGTAACGTATTATCATTTTTTAGTTCTTCAAACACTTGAAGAATTTTTTGCTTTAGTTGTACAATGATGTTAATATTATTTTTGTACATTTCTTCTTTAGCATGTCCCCATAAGTAGAAGTCCAGTGGTGTGAGGTCCGGAAACCTTGAAGTCCAGCGTATCTTACCGCCACGACCTATCCGGCACGAATACTTTTCATTTAAAAAATTTATTTATTTAAATTTATTTCCTACAGTATCCTATCATTATCAATGTTTATAAATACTAGCACGAGCAAAGACAACCGGTATATAGAATACACGATAAGGTAATCGCATTGCGTAATTGAGTAAATTTCAAATTCGATTTTTTCGAAAACGAAGCCTTGGATGAAAAAATTGTATACCATATTTTTTCCTTATTTTTCTACGTAGAATTACCCCCTGTCCGTTTGTACGACGATTTTCTACCCGCCCTGTAAATAAAATTAACATGTTCACCTGCTTTTTATTGTATCGCTCACTTGCGAAGAAAGTCATGCACGTTTAAAAACACGAGTTTTAAGTTGCTGTAAGAGTATTGTAGAAACATTTTCATATCAGTTATGAAAATTTTTATAATTTGACAGGTAGAAGATAAATACATATGTCGTTCTTTCTAATTCATGTGACATTGTGCTGTATTCCATAAATAGTTTATAAATGGCTTATTAACAGTTTATTATGCTTAAAATTTTATACTGATCATCATTGATCAATAAATCCGTGTTTATGCAGATGAAAGTATCTCGTATTACCTTGAATATCATCTCTTTGATTAACAAAATAATGTTTCATCATATTAAAGTATAATTTCTTGCTTCTATTAAACATACTTTTTCAAGTTGTCTCTCCTTCTGCGCAAATGAGCGATACAATAAGGAAGAAACCAAGGCAAATTGACACTGTAAGTAATAATATATATATATATATGAAGTTTAATTAGTGCGAAATGTATGACATTTATTGTTTATTATGATAGAATATTGATGTTAGCATTAGTTAATCTTTTATGTCCATTAAGTTATCTGCGATATTTTTATTAAAATTCTCATTAGAGAATTTCTGATATACTGTAAATATAGGAAAAAGGAAAAACACGAAAATAATACATGATGAAAATCCAAAAAGACATCAATATATTTTAAGTAATAAAAGTATTATTAGTATAATAGAATTTCGTTTATTCGGACCTTTTTTATATCAGTTAATGTTAGCCTCAGATATGGGAATTCATACTGATCAATTTCAATTATCCTCATCTACTTTTTTTCATGTAAATAACTAAGAATAGAATGTAGAGAAAGCTAGTGAGCCTCTATTACCTGAATGGATTGTCTCCTGTCGAATAAACGAAATTCTAGTACAGGTATATAAAAATATTTTATATATCTTGTGAGCAGTGAGATAAATTGACATATTTTGATTTCATCAAACAAATATTTTCTAACTTATTTTGTATGTTTTCTTTTGAAATCTCACTTACTGTTGGAACGCATAGCGCAGTGTGGCTTTATATTGACAATACGTTCGAGCTGCTTATAAAAATAATACATATACGCATATCACATACATACTTTGTTGTACACTATAAATGTACAACCGATACGAGATGTCGCGATTATAGTAAATCGATAAGGTAGATCTAACATTCCTCCTAATCGCTATATCTTCGAATTCCAGGCACTCGGTGAATTTAACATGCTTGTTACTAGTTAACGGCTTCGTTAAAATATCACCGATCATTCGTTCCGTACTTATGTATTGTTTGATCATTGCCTGTTTCCATTTATCCTTCTGAGGTCCAGACAGTGCCTCACTTACTGATTTGTGAAATCACTGAAAAAAAAAAGTTTGATGTCGTCCCAGGGAATTGTCTGCTTTTTCTTTCCCTTTCCGGATATCTCCTTGGTGCAGGCGTCGAGTGTTTTTGTGGCTCGAGTTCAATTATATTTTCAAGTTTTGAATTGAAGCTTGTTTCCGAAGTAGAAGTTGCACTTGGATCTTCGGATATGGATTGAGTTGAATCTTCATAGTCTTCGTTCTCCGTTGTTCCATTCACCGAAAGGGTAATAGTTTTATCAATGAGTAAGTCCTCTTGCTCAAGATTGATACTTCATTTTCAACAAAATTCACATCTCGTGCCTTTACAATTTGTTTTGGATTTCTCAGATCTGTTATTCTATATCCCTTCCGTGCAGTATCCCAAGAAAACACATTCCTTTGCCTTTTTGTCAAATTTGGTTCACGTATATACTAGTTGTACACTTACCGACATGAGATGTCGCGATTAAAATAGATCGATAAAGTAGATCTAACATTTACAATATGTGAAAAAAAAGGATCACATATTTTATCATATTTCTTATCAAATAACTTAAACAAAAATGACAAAAACTGAAAATCTCTCCTATTATACATATATTAGCATACCTATTTAATAGGTAGTTATTAACATACATATATTAACATATCTATTACATATATAATTTTTTCAAAAAATGTAATAAAATACTTTATATTGCAAAGGTCAACTGTCATTTTCAGTTAATATTTTAAATTAGCAGTATCATGCACAATGTGAAACAAGACATATTATTGCTGTAAATACGTATTTTCATATAATATTTTAACTTATATAAGCTAATATATAAATACTTATAATATATAAATACTTTAACAATAAAACCTATATAATTAAAGAATTCTTCAAATAAAAATGACTCGATACCATTTACGGTTACATTTATAGACACGGTAACATTTATAGATGTATTCTTTTATTGCATGATCATTTTCAGAAATAAATTATCGCTTTTTCAATTCGACTTTTATTTATAGTTATTGAAATATTTGAAACTGTACCTTGACATCCGTTGGATGAGAATCCATAATATCCAGGTAAACAGACGTCGCAACGTGTACCACTCACTCCTGGTTTGCAGTAACATTGCCCTATATCGTGACAAGAAGAATTGAATGCTCCTATAGGATCACATCCACAAGGAGCACAACCTGCTCCCTTTGGCAAACCCCAGAAACCAACCTTAACAAGATTGAAAAAATAGGAAAAGCTTATTACAAATAATCAATTTCAATTAACGAAATTGATTATAATTATTACAATTATGTTAATTCAATTGATTACAATTATATATTAAACTAGGTGTCATCAATAATTATATTATCCGAATATATTAATACATTATCAAAATATTTCTTGTGATAGTTCTGACGTAAAGTTCCAGAAACTATTAAATTATATATTTTGTTTAATTTTAATTTAAATAATTTTCCAATTAATTTAATAATAGTAAGATCATAAATAGTAATTTAAATCGCTTGTTATCATATTCGTAGAATATTAAATTTTATATTTTCACTATACCTTTTTCACTACTCTAAAAATATTTATTTCAATTTAAGTATGATATATGTTTTACTCAAATTGATTCAATTTAAGTATGATATATATTCTACTCACCATACATTGATCGCATTGTCTGCCAGTAATATGAGGTTTGCACTGACATTGTCCTGTTATGATATCGCAGGCAGTGGTTATTGAACCAATAGGATTACATCGACATCCTGAAAATGTTTAAGAAGATTATCATTTGTATAATATTTTTATTTTTTCAATTTATATATTCTACAATTTACGATTAACCTTTGCCTTATATGTATAATACAAAATATTTGTAACTTATAAAAAGTTATAAAAATATTTATTTCACATATTTTTATAAAAAAATAAGAAAATTTAGAAGAATCAAATAAGTTTTATTTGTTGTTCTTAGTATTGCTACTAAGCTAATCCAAAACAATCAATCAAAATTGACATATAGTAAATTCAATAAAGACTACAAAAAGTATATTTTTTGGCTACATAAATTAATACTGTGTTTGGATAAATAGAAGTATTATTTAACGTGTATAAAAGATATTGGATAAATCGAATTTTATTATATATAGTCTAATGGTGAAGGCAAATATTGTTTAATTAACCGTGAATAATTTTGCAATGATTCGAAAAATATCTTTGCATGTGTAAGGGAAAGTGCATGTAAATGTGTATAAAAAAAAAATGCAAAATAAAACGCTAATATGGTAACTAATTATTATCGGATATTCAAACGGTATATTTCTGAAACTAATATTCCAGAAAATCAACAAACTCTAGACAATGTTCTACAATTTCCAGTTTTACGATTTATCACAATCCAGTTATACGATATACGATTATAAAATAGTTTTTTATGTTACAGGTGTCGTGACCAGTATAAATATGAAACTTGATTGAAAATTAAATACTATAAGAAGCAAAAAGGAGAGCTTAAGAAATCATTTGTGTAAGTCATTTTTTATCGAAAGTGACTTTTGTAGTACAAATTTCTTATCAAGAATAGTCTAGTTATAATATTATAATAATTATATTGTAATGATTAAGCTATTTCATCGACTGACAATTTTAATATAAATTTTAATATAATAAAAGAACATTTGCATAGCATAAATAATTTGGAGAGGTGACTGATTGGTTCATGAGTTCTCCATATAAATATTCATCCGTTATCTATCATAATATTTAATTTATAATTATATTATAATTATAAAATTTAAAAAAATATTATTTAATTTAACAATAATTAACAATTATTTCTTCGACTACAACATTTTTGGTTACAAATAACGACTATAAGTCATCGAAAATTTTTTCAGGGCCCAATAATCATCATTGATGATAAGAGAAATTTATTTCGGTTACTCATAAACAGGTTACTTATTAAAGAAAAACTGCTTATGACAACTATCAATAAAGGAAATTGTTAAGGCCAGCAACCATCGTAATTTCTGGGACGGAGATTTAAGACGGTCTTAGAAAATTTGTACTCTTTAATACATTGGATCTGTTTGTAATACTGTCTGTATCCTACTGATAGTATTACAAACAATCATCCTTGTTCTAAATTATATAAGATGCACCATAAAACTTCTTTAGATGATGAATTTTAGACGTTTCACCCAAAAAATGCTGGCCAAAAATATACGAAAATATCCACTTAATTCCATTATACGCCATCATTAAAGCAATAACAGAGAAGAAACATACAAAGATATTAAGGATATACTACCTTGCATCCCATCAATTTACCAGAAATATTTTAAATCACTCAAGACTCCCAAAAATCCCATTTCCGAAGGATGAGAAGAAATGATAAAAATTACTTAGAAACATAATTATAAAATGTGAATTAATAGATTTGAATTAAATTCTTCTTTTATAATAAAATTTGTTCTTATTGTCGCAAGTCAGTTATAAGACATTCGGTTAATTTTGAAAATGGTCCAAGTCATTTCAAGCTTTAAAAATCATACTTCTTTATAAGCAGCACACAAAATTTCAGAGTCACAATAAATTCTTACAAGACCAAATAAATCCTGAAATATTTTGCTGTACATTATAAAAATATTTTTTAATTTATTCAAGCGCAAACGTTTAAATATCTCAAAACGAGAAATAGATGACTTAGGCCACTTTCATGATCACGGGCACATATCAAAATAGAAAATAAAATAATATCCATTTCGTTAACTTCGTTTCATGTTGATGGTTCATTTCATTCTCGAGCCATGAAATCACGCAGAGGGAAATATGTCTTCCATTCATTTCTAGGTAACAATATATAAATCTACAGGTATCACGATCAGCATCTATTCAGTTTGAATCCTAGTCATGCATGACTAGTGTTTGCTGATCCGCGATTGATCGCATTTCGCAATTAGCAATGCCACCACAACGAATGCCGCATTGTATTCAAACGACATAAGCCCTGGTTAGCACTTTCACGGCCCTTGTTTCGCGACGAAAAAAGAAGAAAGAGTATTCGACAAGGAATTTTTATGGCGTAGCCATAAATCGTGAACAGGTACTGTAGATTTAAATTCAATTTGATCAATGGTATAAGACGGTGAAATAATACTTGTAATCGTTTCGGTTGAAAACGAGATAGTGGATGGAACAACTGCAGTAATGTTAAATACGAATGGTGTATGAGACCCCGGAAATATCAGGAATCCGATGCTCGAAATGAGTCCAGGTCAGGTCCCGAAAGTAACTAAAAATTCTTTGAAAATTATTGAAAAAGTTGATATTGTCGAAAAACTTCCTTTTTTTTTAAAAAAAAAGATTGACAATTTTCATTCATTACAATTTATTAAAATTTTTTAGAAAGAAAAAAACGTTATTCGACTTTTCAAAATACCGATTTTTTTTGAGTATCCCAAAATTCACGAGAATCTCGTATTATCGGCAATTTTGTATTATGAGATATTTTCAGGTTTTTGCACATGACGGGATTTTTTTCAGATTTAGATCAGATTCTTAAAAATATTTGGGATTTCTAAAAGAATGTTGCTGTTTCTGCTATGTAAACGAATGATTGGTAATAAATAAAATATCATATGTTTATTATTTTATTATTTTATTAGTATTATTATTTTCTTTATTTTATTAGTTTATTAATTTTATTATTTTTGAAAAATATCTGAAATATCTTATGATTTATGACAGAATTAAATACAATCTCTTATATGTTCCATTGCTTTTCTAATGAAATTTTACACCTTGGATTTTTGCATTTATAAAAAACATGAGATATTGTGAGTTTAGTACAAAAAAAAAGATATCTATTATATAAATATTCTGTTTGAACAATTCCCATAATTTTTAGATATCAGAATATTCGGATAACAAAATTATGTATTTCATTCCAGGAATTTAAAAATCCTGGAATTTTTCTTTTACGTCCCGAATTACAAATATTCGAAATATTTTGTAGTAATTATAATAATTTTGCGGTAATTTTGGGGAATTTTGAAATTAAAATCAAAATTCTGGATTGAATGTAAATTAATATTAATAATGGATTGAGTTTTGCAATTGTATAAAAATCTTAAAAGAATGCAATTCATTTTATAAGATATTTACAATAATATTTACTTGAGTATAAATATTTATTAAATCCTATATAATTGATTATATACATTATTAATGATATATACCGTGTATACAAAACAAGTGAAGTATTTTAAAATTAAGTAATGTAATTTTGAGTTAGTCTAAATCGTTATTGAATTAACCCAAGTAGCTTAATTAAGACTCGATGATATCACTTAAAAGTTAGAAATGAAGTAAATTGTACTAATTGGCCTAATTCGAATTAATTCGTGAAATTGGTTTATAAATAAAGGAGATTAAAACATTTCTACTATTCTTTTTATTTGCCATGACTTTTATTTGCTGTGTCAAATATAAATTAAAATTCTTTTAGAAATTATTATAAAAGGCAATATAAAATTTATTTTGTAGGAAATGTTTTTGCACTATTATACAGTAATTTTTTATTTCAAAGAGATATTCTGATTTTAATTTTAAAAAATTAGTATGTACTTAATACAATAATGTAATTTAAAGGAATTTCCGACAAAATAAATTGTAGTGAAAAATAAATTATAAGAATAAATTTAAATAATCACAATTTTAAAAAATAAAATAAAGTTATCAATAAAATATCACTATACAGTATTGTAATTAAACAAAGCATTCTTATTTACTACTCAATTTATTAATTTAATAAGCAACATTATGATTATAAGTTATTAATATCTCTTCTGTGAGATACTTAATTTATGCAATATATAATTAAAAGCTTTAAGTTAAGCATTATGAATGATCTGCTTTAATTTTACAATCCAATTATAGTTGCTTTCCATAAATATGACTTAAGATATCATAATATTAAGCAGCAAAAAAAAAAAAAAAGAAAAAAAAACAGGAAATAAAAACAAAGTTATTAGGTACACCAGCAAACAAGTGATACGATTATTAATTCAAGCAGCCACAGTCAAGTTCAAGCTTCGCTTCAGAGCCACGTAACCATAGCTAAAGCATAAATAATGATCTCGTGTCTCTAATCCTATGTGGTACTCAGCCTGGTTATAGGTAAATAAATAACCGTTCTCGTTACAAAGCTGAAGGATTAGTTAGAAGTTGACTGTGACGCTCGCCTTAATTGTAACTAATATCGATCATTCTTTAAATCTATACCTGGTTTCTTTATTAGCTCCAAGTAATGACCAGATCGATACTGAATCACTACTGTAATCAATAGTAGCTTACAAATGATACTATATCGAACAATACTTAATCCTTTTTGCTGATATATCGCTTTTCTTGCTGATGCTTTATTTTTATGAAATTTTTCTTAAAACAGTACAGTTACTCACATTAATATTCAGAATTATTTTAGAAGCATTTGTTGAATACTTGAATATTTTTCTTACCTTATTTTTACAAAATATTTTTATTAAAAAACAGTAGAGTTACTCATATTAATATTCAGAATTATTTTAGAAACATTTGTTGAATATTTCAATATTCTTCTTACCTTTTTTTTACAAAATTTACAATATTTTTATTAAAAAAACAGTGGAGTTACTCACATTAATATTCAGAATTATTTTAGAAACTACATTTTGTCAAAATAATAAGCAAAACAGGTATCAATACCTTTATGTGGTATCGAACA